AATTTCCTTTAAAGTAGTAAAAGCTCTTTAAAGGTATGCTACGAATGGCATTATAAAGAGCTTGGTGTTGGAAGATGTTGCAAAAAATGGGGTTTTGGGGTCACCATGTCTTTCAAACCTCTTGTTTGAAGCGCTGCACCAGTTAAAGGTCTTTCCCAGCCCACCATTTTAAACATTATAGGAATTTATAATCTATTATTGGAACTTTGAGGTTAGTCTGATTGAGATTTTTGTAAAAATAACATCTTTACACGGCTTTACAAAGATAAATAGGCCCAAACACCAAACAGATTCCTTAGTATATTGGCGTCAGAGAAATAACCAAAGCTCTTCATGTTTTCAATACCCTATGTCATAGTATTCCAAAACAACTGTAAAATAGCATGCAGGATTCTTCAAAATTCTACCAATAGTACCACAAAATGATAGATTGAGTTTGACACTGACAAACATTATTCTAGGTCTGTTTTAGGTCTTTAATTGATTTAGGTCTGGGATTTGTCTGAGCTGATCATTGAAATTCAAAGGCCCTAAGGACTTGAACGAGGAACTGTTGCCATAGTGTACATTACAGAGCTTCATGAAGATATTTAAGAAATTCTAAGGAGCAGATCTCTTGAAGAATGTGTGTCTTACTGCTTTCAGTTGTCCTTCTGTGGTAACTCGTCAACATGCTTCTGCCGGAGAAGTTATCACTTTAATATTATGATGACACTACCATAATTCACAATATGAATGCCTGTCAGAGATAGCAGCAGAAAACTTGTATTAGATCAGATTACATAATTGCTCTTGATCTTACAATTTCTATGGTGATTGTTGAGGAAGTTTAAGCAAACAATCAATGTAGCATAAAAGCTTGATTGGTTGAGAGCATCAGAAATAAACAAAATTTTCAGTGATTTCCTATTCTCCTCCAGGGAAGTTACCCTGTTGACTATCAGTTTCTTTCCAAGGTCATTTCCTGTGAATTATTCTCTCTGGGGGAGTGGCCAATACCCTGGAGGGTCTTGGTGGTTCCAAACTTCTTTGCTTTTTAAATAATGAAGACTGCAATATTTTTTAGATGGTTTAGTGCTGACAATTTTATAGAGGTTGGTAATTTGAAGCAGTTCATACTTGGAGAGAAAGAAACCATTATTTTGGCTCATTTGCTTGGTTGCTGTCAACTTTGAGATCTTGAAACATGTGTTCCCTGAGCGTAGCACAGGTAGACGCCACCAGTTGCAGAAACGTCTCAAAGATGATCATGTGATTTTTTTTATGGTTTCCAATAAAATTTCAGATGAAACTGCAAAACATTGAAACACACGGGTTCACTTTGTGCCCACCTGTATTTTCATTAAAGCAGCACAATGAAATGTTTAGCCCCCCCGAAGGCCACTATCAATACTACACTGTGACAAAGCTGAAGTCTTGGTATTTAAGAAATTGCATAGCAGACCAGTTTTGATCAGCCCCTGATGATGTCATGGAGTTAAATGTAAATTAATAACCATATTCAACCCTTTATATTAAAATCTACATCAGGAAACCAAAATATGTCTGATTAGGTAAGTGTCATATCTGTTTTGTTGCTTAACAACAACCTTTACCTTTTTTAGTTTTAGGTTTCTAGGAGAGCTCAGTCTGTCATAAAGCTGGACTCAATGTCACATTGACATGGCAAGAAACCAGCAATCAGTCTGAAGATTTTGATAAACTTTATGTGAGTGTTTCAACCACCTGGAGCTCTTAAGAACTACGGCTTGAATCTGTTCTGCATACCCAGAACCAAACATGGAAAATCAGCTTTTAGTTCTTCTGCTCCACTAATCTGGTAAAAACTCCCAAGAAACAATAAAAGTACTGAAACCCCCACTTCTTCTTCAACCAAATAAATTCAACTTATTAGACTTAAAGAAAAATGTTGAAAATGTATAGCACAGTAAAAACATAAACCACATACACTGTATATAATAAAAGAGTAGAGTATGGTAAATAAATAGAACATTTAGGAAAAATGGAAGAACCTCGTACCTAATGAACTACTTTAAATACAATGGAACCTCATAACTTAAAAGAAAGTAACATGATGAAACTACTGAAAGGCTTTTAAAAAGCTACTCTTGTATAGTAATGGAAGGTTAAACTATCTATTCTTAGAATTGCTCTAGATTTACTTCCATGCAGTTTCTTTTTCCTCTTATCTGAACTCAATACCATAGTCTTAATAAGCCTCTACTAATTATATTTATTCTCGCATCATCTGTTTATTTTTTTCACTTTTCTTTGTATAATTCCTTGGTTGCCATGTAGTACACAGTGCTGCCTCTCCATATTAGAGGGACTTATTCCTCCGCACCATTCATGTGGAAACGGCTTGCACCACCAGCTACCCTTTCTTTTATTCATTGCACTGTAAATAACTCCACTTTATGAAAAGCAGCCAGTGTGACTCACGGATACCTCTCTAACCGCAACCCTTTATTATTTCATGGCCTTTGAAAGAGGGGTATATAGCAGGCTTCTCTCCCACTTTAATGTTGGAGCTCCCTCTGATGTTGTGCAGTACACAGCGGCCCTTGTTGCGCTCCGTATGCAATCCCTCAGTTGAATTCACAAACACTTCCAAGTGCATAAACAGCATGGAAGACAAGCGCCTTGCGAGCTGGCTAATGCTCTGGAACACCATTTGCTGAGAAGATAACAGAAGCTTGCCAAAGTTGATGTCTGGGGAGGACAATTGTGTCTGTACGCTTGTATGAAAAATGGTATTGTTCTTTGACCTCTCACGGGACATCATATGGCAAAGCGAAATAACATGTATCAGGTCTTATAATTAAATGACCAGTGGATGGAATTCAAAAGGCTGCCACAATGTCCCTCTGAGCAACCTTTGGAACGTGTAGAAGGTTCTGGGCATACAGACAAGCTAATGGGCAACCTATTGGTCATGGTAGATTCAGTTTGAATCTCAATGAGTGTGTCAGTGTGTGCTTGCTCCATGACCAACAAGGTGTGGTAGGTCCACTGGACTTGATTTAGCCACATAGCCTGTCAGACCAGTCAACATCTATCATTCGGAGGGATAAAAAGCAGTTATTTTTTTCCTTCAAACTACCAAGAGGAAACCTTAACATGAAAAATACAATGTGTGGCGCAATTTCATTTCTTTCTCTCCTCTACATACTTAGCCTTGTGTTTTCTTTCTCAATTTAATAACTAAGGTATTTAATAACAAAGGTATTATGGCAATTTAATAACAGAGGTATTAACACAAGAGGGTGGGGTGTCGCACAGATTTAAACAGCTGCCTTAATACGAGTAATGGTGTACAGTTGGGGTGGAAAACTATCCATGTATTCCTCCTTTCCTGCACTGCTAAGTGACACCAACAACAACAAATGAGCAAATATCGCATTATTTCATCTGGCAACCAGTTTACATCTGTCCTTTCTGTCCTCATGAACAGAAACATGACAGAAGCACATGTTGTTACGCTCTATGTATGCATAGTTGAATAGAAACACAGATGTAGTTTTTATTTCAAAAATATATACATAGACTTAATAAAAGGGGCTAGAAAAGGTAACACTTGTGACCAAACCTTGTAGGGATTGACGAGAAACTCTAGAAACTGTTCTTTTGCTTATAGTTGTTAAAAAAGAAAAATCCAAATTTGATATAGAGTGGCATCCATTGTATTAAATAGAATTTGAATGCCACAAGAGCTTAAAATTCAAAATGTGCTTCCATATTTCCTTAAAAGATCTCATAGGCAAAGGTATATCTGAATTTTTTATTTTTTTTTACCACAAACTGGGTTTAAATGATCCTTTTAAAAGAAGAGCTTTTTCAAAGAAACAGATAAACTAAATTCATTTCTATTTTTGTCAAAAATAAATTCAGACAGCTGAATTTTTCCATTGTGTAAACAAGGGAAAAAAAGCAAGAACGTCCGTTAAGGCATTGTACAATAAAAGGTGAAGGAGAGGAAATGATGTGTTACTCAATGGTCTGTGCAGCCATAGAAAAGTCCAGTTAGTTTTGCACTGCTTCAAGCAGCTCAATAAAACGACTAGAAACCATAGAAACGTAAACTAGGATATACCTATGGCACATGAAAGCAGTGGACTTACATCACAAACAGGCTAAACCCATTACAAGTCCAGAGGGTGGGCAACACATTGCCTTGTCCCGCTTCTCTAAACAAAGCTCCAGCTGTCAGGGAAAAAAAAAGAAAAGAAATAAAAAACTGGTAACATATACATTAAAATTTTATCCCTTCTTTTTCTTCTCTCTGAAGTGGGAGCTCCTGAAACCCTAAATGTGTAATGCCATGCTAGATTTTCATGGCTGTGCCTTAGTGGAATAAAAGATAAATGCTCAACAGCAAAAAGGGTGCGGGGTGGGTGATTTACTCTCTGATGCTAGAGGAAGACAGTTGCTTTTTCAAAATCCAAGTTTTGGTCCTTTATTTTATTCAGCAGTGAAATGCCATGAATACAGAAAATAATGTCTGTTACAATTCTCAACCATGACCTTCTAATGTCAGAGAACCTTTAACATATGGACACAGTACACAGGAAGGAGTAGTATCAAAAAAAGTTTGTTGAATCTCGATTAAAATAAAATGGAAAAACAAAAAAAAAAAAATCACCAATTACATAAACATATGTTTGCTACAGTCCCAATTTACTGTATACATAGGGGGGGATCATATTCTCAATTATTAGAGAAGGATTGCAGTAGAAAGGATACATGACTCAACTGCCAGACATAATGCTTCATAAAGTATGCACAGAGGTACAAGCAATAAATACACACATTAGGTTAAAGCCTTACAGCTACGCAAAGCAGATGCAGAAAAAGCAGGTTTGCTATTCTTAGCGAGCAATGAGAGAGAAACAGTAAAAATTCAGGTAAGTCAGAAAAGAAACACAGAACTCTTTTTTTTTCCTCTTAGAAAAAAGTCTGTTAAATTTCATGGGTTCACCGACATGTTTTTTTGTTTTTTGTTTTTTTTCCTTTTTTCTTTTTACATAAGTATGCACAGTTATCAAAATACAGACAAAAATCAACCCAGAAAATCCAGACAATCCTTAAATCTAGTGGAGGAGCAGATTGCAGGTCTGGAGGTCTTTCTGGTATTATGTGCAAGCAACTATTTTAGACATTTTTTTTTTACTTAATTTGTACAAAACCCATGCAAATCTACAGGTAATATGCATTCTGTGGCTGACAGGTTTTATCCCTCTGAGGTAATGCACTCCTATGCATTGTAACATGTAGGCCATCATCCCAATGAGTTTTATTATATTTCTTTTTGTTTCCAGTCCACCAAATGAATTTTAGACATGCATTTTTTTAAAAACACAATATTCCCCTTACATGTAATCTATACATTATCATTCTACAAATGTTTGCAGACAACCTATCACAATGCGACTCCTCCATATCTTGACACAGGGAATGTAAACAATGGTCTTGAGACAAGCGTGGAAAAGTGGGACAGCTCTCCAAACTCGTGCAATCTTTCGTAGTTGTTCTGTTGTTGTGCAGAGGTAGAAGCTTTTAGAAAGCCTATTTTGGGTAAATGCGAGTACCCTTTATTGTTTTTCCTTTTAAACGACAAACGAAGTGCCCTTTTTATTTGGTGTAATAAGATTAAGAATGCTTTTTTTTTTCCCCCAAGTCACTGACTCCTATCCTCTTGAGGTGTCGCAGCCAACAAGTACTGCTTTTGTACAGTATCTGTGTGTTTGAGCTCTGGCCTCACAACTTGGACTCGCTGCACGCACAGTACGGCTAGGATTTTGGTCAGAACGGGGCCAACGCGTTGCTCCTTTAAAAAGCCATAATATTGTGAAAACGGTAAAGCTGACCACCAGGTCTCTGTATGTGTGTATGCCAGACTCCAACATGGCGTGACTATGAGTATCGATGCTTATCCTGTACAAGAGGAGGCAGAATTTTGTGTTACTTTGGTTTACTGAAAACGAAAACGGCCGTTAAAGCAAAAACACTCAAGGATCAATTCTACCCCTCGGCTATTCGTAGCCCCATTTCTCACAGACTCATTTTCCCTCTGATTTCTCCTACTTTTTTTTATAGCTGTAAACTAACAGTTTCAATACCAAGTACACCATTCTGTATGCCTTCATTTTTTGATATGGTTTGGTGTTTTTCATAAATTATAAGCATGAAAAAATCCTCAGATAGAACGTAACTGGAATTAATAATGGGTTATTGGAAACCTTTTGAAGACATTTTTTTGCCTTTGTTTGTAGTTTTGACAACAATTTGTCTATTGAATGTCATAAAATTTAAAACCTTCCGGAAGTTGACTGTACTCAGCCATATTTCCTTACAGACTGAAGAATTTAACTTTAAAATAATGGTCATTAAAGCTGTAACAAATTGGTGCATGGCTGACAGAAATTGACCAAATGTAAATGGCACCAATTTTTACCAAAAAGAAGTCAGGTTTGAAATGAACAAAAAATGCTAAGGTACGAAATAGCAAATAAGTGAAATCATGGATGTACTTCTTCGTCTGTGATTACAAAATGTGCCATAAAAAGCTGTCCACCCATACAAGTTACTCTGGTGTGAACAAGCCTGTATAGTTAAAGGAAAGATAACGAGTATTGAATGAGGTTAAAGCAAATCTCACCTAGAAAAAGGTTACCTTGGATCCTCTTTCTACCATGGCTATCACTGTTTTGCTTTCCATGGTAACCAAGCCACATTATTTCATATTTACTTGAAATTATGACTTATTTGGCTTTACTAGATATTTTTCATGTTTGGTTAGTAGTGTTTTCAGTTATTTGATGCAGCTCAGAACAAAAACCGCCACAGAAGTAAAGACGTAAAAGTATTTGGACGGTCCCACCCATAACAAAAACAAAGGTTTGAATGTGTAATGCATAACAAAAATACAATATTAACACAATCCTCAAAACATCAAGATGGTTTTACACTTATATTGAATACACAAAATGATTTATTTTGGTTATGGTCCATTTTTATGGTTATTTCACTGACAGAATGCCTGGCAGTGGATAACCGTAACGGACGTTTTTATGACTTCCCAAATTACACATGAAGAATCAGCACTTGTTTCTGATCTGATCATCTTTGTATAGGGCTAAATGAAATGATCCCAGAGGTTTATTCCAAGGTAGTCTGTGGATAAAAAAAAGCTTCTCTTTGAAATAGTTTAAAGTCACAGAAGGTGAGACCAAAAAGAAGAGTTTGGTGGCTTCTGCCTGTAAGCTATTGGCCATTGCTAGTATTGGCTTTGGTTTCTAGCTGTTGCCTGTCACTGTTCGCAGGTAGACAAAGCTTTGGAACGCCGAGGTAAGAAGAGCAAGAGGAAAGATACGAAGAAATGCATTTTGTATTGTAAATGGCGCTTTTACACAAGCTCTTATTACTTCTCCTTTCTCATTTGAGACTTTTAATCACAAACACATAGACTGAAAGCTGACTTTTTACTCGATATTTTTTTTCTTTTTCTTTTCTCTGAACAGTTGTGAAAACAGTCTTGGTACTGCAGATGTGGCTTGAAGAATGCAATTTACAGTTGGTGATGTCTAAAAATCAGATATGGAAATTAATGGTTAAAAAAAAATGATAAAAAATAATTTGCTGAGTTTAATAATAGTAGCAACATACAGGCAGTGACACGATTTTCCGAGACTACTTCTGTGCAAATGAGAACAGAGCAACAACTTGAATTGAACCAGCAATCGTCTCTAGACATTAACAACTACTGTGGGCTGGGTTATTCACAAACGTAAAACGTCTTCCTTTTTGGCAGTTTAGGAGGCCGCTTGCTTTCAACAGAACATGATTTGCTTATTTGTTTCATGTGTCCACCTTATCAGTGAGTCCATCATCCTTTCACTTTATGTGGCCATGCCACCCCCAAATATAACAGGTCTCAGTGAGTTTTTTTTTTTTCTTTTTACAACAGACATCTCATGTCTGTCAGATTTGGGAATCCTAAAGGTCTGCAACAAAGAGTTCCTTTGGATTGGTCTCTATCCGGATACATGCTCAATAAATAGTCCCAGTGGTGAGAAAGAGAGTCAGCTGTGGTTGCTTGGACTGTGGAGTGGTTTTTTTTTTAGTCTTGTAGGTCTGTGTAAGAGAAACAGTGTGGTAGAGTGGAGGGATACGTTGACCAAAAACCATATCCTAGTCACTCCAGGTCTTCCGATAGGTTCCCTTCTTCCAGCTCCCGGTCATCGTCAAGTTCTGGACTGTGATTGGCCGTCGTCACGAGTGACATCGGACAGTCATCATCATCCATGTTGAGAGGCTCTTCCTTGACGTGAACAGGTGGCCTGTGAAAAAGAAAAATACGGTGTTTTAAAATGTTTTCTGCAACAACTAGGACTCAATAGAAAGCTATACAAAGACATCCTGATGATTCAAGGAGCTGGTATATGGTTTTCCCTTTACCTGTTTGTAATTAAGCATGGGCTGATTCCCAGTTTTAAGGTCTACCAAGGTTTTAAGGTGTAATTATTTCACTATTTTGTTAATTTGGTCATTCGTTTTTGACATTTCTTAGCATGAACTAGGACTGTTTGTCTCAAGACATTTTGTAACAACTATATTCTTTTTTTTTTTTTTTTGATATTTGCACTTATTGAAAATATTTTTTCCCATACAAGTATACATACCGATTTTACAGTTTCATCTTACAGTTTTCTTTCCCAACACAACATCCAACAGAATCTGCACATATATTCTGTACATGTATTGAACTGTAAGCAAACTATTTACAGTCTGTAACTCTATAAGGGTAACCAAACCCAAACAGTCTGATAATTCCAATAATTTTTACATTTTTCAGACTAAAATCTGATGGAAAAAGTCAGCCTTTCTATAATATAAATATTATGTATTATTTCAACCCAATCTTCCCTTTTAGGAGCTTCTAACAACTATATTCTTATGTACCAGAATGACAGATATAAGATATATTAAATCAAGGCTACTTTGTATAATCAACTTATTATCCATTATAAGGAAACAAAAAACATAAAGGTAATTAGGGCCCATGGAGTAGGAAGTAGGATGGGGTTAAATAACAAGAATGTAGAAAGTAAAAACTGGATGAATTGATTTAGTGATCTGGTTTTAAGCGGCTACTTTTCTACAACACAGAAAACTCTTCCTCACATCATTCCAATGCTTTAACAGCCTTTTTTATATTTGCAAGATGGAATGAAGGAGTGACAAAGTTTTCCCTGAGAGTATGCAGCACAGACTAACTTACCCGCCTACTTTCATTAACCATGGTTGTGCATTTCATGCTGAATAAGAAATCTGACTGTTTTGAAAATATTGCACTCTAGTTGACAAGATGACAGGAGGCCAGCTAGCTGAGATAGATCAACTAATTAGTCAGGTATAATCAGCTTGCTAACCAGAAGGGATAATATGGAGCAAAATGAAGCAACAAAATTATTCAGCTAGTTCTACATTTTTATCTTCAAATTAAAATCATTTATATTCATGCTTTAATATCCTTTATAATCTATTCATATAAGCATACATATTGCTTTCAATTAAAACATTTAAAGCATGTTTTCTATTCTGTTCATAAACTTTGTGTTTAAAAACTAGATAAGGTTGTCCATACGATGAGAACCTTACTCAGGCCCATGCTTGTTATACAATTTGTCATTTTCTCGTAACAAAAAAACCAAACAATCATGACACCTATTATCTAGTGAAAGTGAAAACCATGTTGTTTGCAAGACGCTAATTCAACACGATGCCTCACGTCTACTGTAAGTAAGCACATGAAAGTTGCATGAAAAACACGGCCCCTGTAAGGCCGATAAGCTGTGATGTACCAGACATGTTTGGCATTTAAAAGTTTACTGATGACACCAGGTTGAAATACATGAAAAAAAAGGGGGGAAAAAACAGGCCACATGATAAATAATGGAGAATTTCTCATCCCTGAGCCCCCTGGAGCAAAGGCAGAGGAGAGGCTTTTTTATCTAGTTAATAGAAAGCACAGCCACTCGTTAATATGCAGAGGCTGTGGTGTGTCGCTCCTCAAGAGGAAAAACCAGCAGCTTGCTTCTGCCATTAATCAACTTCAGCCCCGGCAGTTCCCTCGGACACCATGATACATGTTTTTAACTCTAAATGGATGAATATCTTTAGCCACTGTCAATAAGTGCTGGGCAGGAAGCAGCACAGGACGCCTTTTTCCTTCAGAACAACATAGGAGTGGGTGGAAAAAAGTGCTGGGCAGCTCACAAGAATAATAATGCTGTCACACACAAACAAGGTATAACATGATCCGGAGCCCTGGTCGGGGAGAAGGGTTTGTGCAACAATGATAAATCTGACAAAACCTAATTATTTCTGACACATCGGATGCATCAGAAAATCCCCGTAGACTCGGAAAGAGGAGAGGGAGACTTATCAAGCGGCGGCACCGTTAGGATGCTTCTCTCCTGGGCCGCCTTCATCAGCGGGGGGAAAGGGAGGGCGGCGGAGCCTTTGAATTTGAAAAGAATTTTTAAAAGGTACAGATGACTTGAATATTCACAGCCAAATACTGTAAATTAATATTCTGATGTGGCCGGGATGAGAAGATAGGAGGCTGATCTTGGCAGGATTGGAGCGGAGCGATGAATATTTCTGTTTCTGTCCTGTGGATTTACAGCGGGGGGTGAAAGGCAGAGGTTGCAGATGAGATAAAGCATCAAAATGCTACACCAAAGGCAAAATATTCATTCAGCGAACACGTTTTTTTTTAACATCGATATGTTCACTATTTTTTCCACACATTTCAATTTGTATCAACCATATTTCCAAGTCAGACTACACAATAATTACACACACGCCTGTTCTGCATACTAAAACTTACTTTGTGAAAGGGTCCAGATAATCTACTAGTCATATCAAAATATTAATGAGTGCATCTAAGTGATCCCACACTATTAAAATACTCCTCATTAGGATGTTTGGATGCCTTACAACAAAAAGTGATGAACAGCCGTATTCGCTTCGGGTTTCCAACATTTTATTAAAATATGTGGATGAGCCATTTAGTGCCTAATGGCTGGATGCCATTATTGAGTCACTCAGGGAGTAAATGCTGGTCTGAAATGCAGTGTAATAAATAGGCCGAGATGCTTGCTCTCATATCAATCGCAGATTAGCGTCTGCAATTGTGCAGAGGTAAAGCCAGGGATGCAAATAAGGTCATTAGTCCAGGGTTTTGATGGCGGTGATGGCGGGAATGGGGCCGAAAAAGGGGGAAGATGTTCATTACACCAAAGATGTGTGGACGCGAAACGATTAAAAATATGAGAAAAAAACAACATAATAATTGGGTTCAACATATTGTGTTGAATGTGAGAAAAGATGCAAGTTCTAATTGTGAGTTCAGATATTTCTGGTTATTACAGCCACCACTTCTTTTAAGCATAAATCCCCTTAGGGTGAACATGAGTTTATTACACATGCATACTTACACATACACACACCTAGCATGGCCCAGGGCAAGTTGGTCTGCGGTTAAGCAGACATCATTAACCTTTAGACATTTAGGGGAAAAGGAGGTTTGTCTAACAGTTGAGTGGACTCAGTTGGGCTTATGACTCTTCTCCAAAAACAGGTCTTCGAGGTGATGTACTATTTAGTTTTGTGCTACGAGCCGCTCTATTATTTAAAGACGTACAGCAAAAAGTAGTGCTGAGAAACACATTTTTTCCATTTCGAGGTTGTCGCGGACTACATGAAAGCTGGGCAGGGGCTGTGGGGAGAGAGAGGGAAGGCTAGACGCCTCTTTTCCTCCATAACAACTTGTGTCAGTGTTGAGGCGACTTGGCCACAGAAAGCGGAGGGAAAAGAGGAAGGGAAGAGTCTGTGCTGTTCTGTTACTGAAAATTAAATGACCTTAGGGAGTGCAAACACTGGGATTCTGTCAAGAGCATGGCAGATTTGCCTCACTTAACACTCCATTTCAGGGAAGTAAACATGTCCTAATATATTAACGTTCTATCACTTCTATTCTCATAAATAATGGCAATGGAAAGCATCCTTTATCCATTACACAAATGGTTAACTAATGTCGCAACGCAAACTTTGATAGACAGCACATATGAAGCATTAAAGGATATTTTCAGTGTTTGTTTCAAAACGCAGCCTTTGTGTCGGTGTGTGTATGCGTGTGTGTTCATTCACACAATGGCTTAGATGTCTCTGAAAGTCAAACACAAACCTTCTCTTTCAGCTACATAAAGTAGAGATGTTTAAAGTAATTAATTCTACACTTGCTAAATATTAATAAGAACAGTCCTGCATAAAATATAGCAGCTAAAACGTACACAGTAGTGGGATCACAAGAGCCTATATATAGATTTTAAACTGTATGACCACAAAGACAATGAAATCCTACTTAAAGGGAGAAGAGCGGCTGCTTTCAATGCAATCTAGAATAGAAATTGAGCTCTGCCCTGAGGTTAGTGTTAACTAAACAGATACTGATCCGGGGGGTTAAATGTCAAACAATTAAAGCAACATAGGGCGGGAGATACGTTCATGTAAGTGGAAAAGGTAGCTTAGGCTTTCTTTATCAAACAAGAACACTTAGAGATCTGAGAAGTGGGAACTGACACATTTCCATTGCGACTAAAAGTTCAAATGCTTTTAAAAGCCACATTTTTACATATTTAGCGCTGAAGAGATTAAAGGGTCAACTATTCATTAAGGTTTATTATTTAATCAGCAAACATTTTTTAAGTAATGCTTTTTTATGTCTCAGTAGGTCACTTTTTGTCCTACTTTTTTGTGTTATTTTATGTAATGGAGAACGACTACAAAGCACATGAGTAGATGGAAATTATACATAATTTGTATCTTTTTTTTAAGCTTAAAAGACAGCTGTAAGGAATGTAGCATGCATCTGTATTATCTGGACTATTATCCTCTGTAAATATGCATGCCAGCTGTATGTTTGTCTATGTGTAGCATCAAACCATAAGAGCACATTTTTGAAAAGTGTACAACACTATTTTAATAATGAAGCGTTACTTTATTCAGAGTCTGATCTAGTTCTGCATTTGGGTTACGATCTGAGCCATAAATCTCTGCAGCTCCTCCAGAGACATCATGGATTGCTTGGCAATCTAAATGCTCTCCTTCCATAGCTTGTCTGGAACAAACCATTTCTTGTTTTACACCATTTTTTTTTTGGATCATGGGCTGATTTTTATTTATTGATTTTATTTTTATAAGATTTTATTTTGGCGGGATCAGATTAAGGGTTACTAAAAACTAACGAGACCAACATTTTCCAGTTAGTAAAACCAATTGTACTTTGCTTTCTGTTAATCTTCTAAATGAACCTGCATTTGGTGCTTTATGACAAAATGTACAAAAGCTTAAGTAGTTTGAATATTTATGCTCTGAACTCCAGAACAGATAAGTTCCAGAATATATTTTACTTACATGTGTACTGGAGGGGAATACCCAGGGCTGCTGTGTCCGTTGGTGTCAAGGTGGTCAAGTGCGCCGTTGAGATCCTCGTGTGCGGACTGTAACATGGTCGGGGGGCTGCCGCTCAACGTTCCAGGTGGGCTGATCCCTATCAAGCCGGGTGGACTTCCGCCCAACAGTCCAGGTGGGCTCCCGCCGGTCGGTCCAGATGGGTCGCCCCCTAGCAGGCCGTGGCAGCTGCCTCCCATTGGGCCTGTGGCGCTGCTCATGAGCCCAGGGGTCCCCAGCAAAGGCAGGGAGGTCTCTGCCAGGGCAGCCTGCAGAGGAGAAAAAGAGAAACGAAAATAAGAAAAAGGGAAAATACTGATGAGAAGAAGAAGAAGAAGAATGAGGGGTGTGTGGCTATTAGGGAGCAAGAAAGATGAGAAGCATATGAAGCATAATTACATGAAATGTTCAGTGAATAAATGGTTTGCAAAGGCAGAAGGTATTTAGTGGTTTAGAGCCACTGTGAAGAGTGAAAAAAGAGACAGCTGAGGAATGAAATGATTTAACATAGCAATTATTAAATACAATATCCTTCTGTTATTATGTTGCAGGAAATTTTTCCCATGTGTGGAAGCTTGCAGATTACCTCCCAGTAACTGCCATTCTTATGCCTTTGAGTGGAGAGGCTATGTATTAATAAAATAATAAAAAGGCTCCCAAAAACTTTACCTCAAAATAATAAAAACTCCTGACACTTTAGCCTGCTGCACATTAAAGTTATATACAGTGATTAAATTTTTAAAGTTTTTGCCATGAGCACCTCGCTGGCGTACACTATGAAGCCAAATCATTTATGACAGGTTAGATAAATATTAATGCACATGCCCTTGCATTTGCACATGCCACAATCAATCTAAGGTGGCTGCAACAAACTGGGAGAAAGGGGAAAAAGGACGGGAACGAGGAAGGAAGAGATTCTGCTTGGTTTGACCACAGGGTGGCCTTCTGGGTCTGAAGGTGGACAGAAAAAGGGATGGATAGAAAAAAAAAGGCGTGGAGGGAGAGATAAGCCGAAAAAGTGCTTCAGCTCATGCTTAATGTAGGATTGAGTGAGGAGTTCTACCTGTAAGCTGGCGTTTAATGCCGTTCCATAGCCAAGACTGGAGGGCAGGTTCTTCACAAGAGACGGACTTCTAAATAGAAGAAAAAACAAACCAAAAAATAAATAAATAAATATACAAACCTCCCTATCCTGTTCACAACACACTGCTTGATCTAATCTCCATCATGTGCCTTGCAGAGATATGTATACATATTAAGGAAACATTAAGGAAATACATATTTTAATACAATTATGGAGGATAACAAATGTTGATTTTGATTTTCCTAAATTTTCTCTTCAACTGCTCATACTTGAATGGCTTAAATGGCAGTGGCGATTGCTATTTAATATATATTGTTCAACTTAAGCTATGAAAATGTGTAACATTTGTTATCTTTTCAGTACTAAATTCTATCTATTTCACTTGAATTGTGTAATTTGGGCAGACAGGAAATATAATTGTTATTGTTGCTTCTTAAAATAGAAGCACCGAAAGTTTATCCAGGACCATTTACCCAGAAATCCCTATATATATATTCCAGTGCAATCTTCAGAAATTGTAAAAGAAAACAAAAAATAAAGTCACCTTGTCAGTAATGCAATCAAATCTATAAGATGTACACTTTAACACTTTGACTTTTATTTAAGAATGGTAAGAAGAAATCTAGGCTTTATTTTGTTAAGTCTCATAGGGTGCAAGGCAAACTTGAAAACGGTCTTGCAACGCTTAATGTTTGAAAGGAAGGCAAGACAGAGCAGAACAGAAATATGGTGGTGGTAGATTCATAATATGTGATATCATAATCTGCTTCACTATTCTACGCTACCATGTTTTGGTCCGCCTCATAAAAACACTTGAAATGTATTGAAATTGTGTCAATATTTAAAAAGATTTAAAGGCAAATAACTGCTTTTGCATGGTTAAAAGCCAAAACTAGCCTTACCCTGTGATCTTCTGCGACCTGCGTTTCTGGTACTCCACCTCATCCACCGTCCACACCGCCCCCTTCACGTTTTCTACGCGCACAAAGCACTTGTGCAGGCTGAGGTTGTGGCGGACGGCGTTCTGTAGAAAAAAAGCGACAAGCACAGGTCAGACAAGATGAGGCAAAACAAATCATATTCACTCATTATCCATCATAAGGAGAAAAAAAAAGGCTTGAAAATTGATTTTTTTTTTTCACATTTCAAAAAAAAAATTCTTAACATTCACGCACCATTGATTTAATTAGTAAAAATTGAGTGAGAGCGAATGCTCTTACAAGTCCTGCACACAGTACATATCAATCAGAGTAAGTAGGCTAAAAGGAGGTAATCAGCATAGCGAATGGCTTATGGTGGTGACAGAAGTGGTAATGCCGGCCTTGATAATGGTGATGTCAGTAACCCTTCCTGTTCCAGAAAAGCAGAGCTCTTAATGGACACATCGCTTTAAAGATGACAGAGCTGCAAGAAGAAAAAAAAAAGTCTTCTAGAAGGCCTTGCATTGATGCGCATGTGTATTTAAGAGCATTTAAGTGTGTGTTAGAAAGAGTCTTAGACATCAATCGGTCCAAATATTCCTTTTTCAGTTTGTTTTCAATTCATTGTCTTGGATTAAAAAAGGTTGTGCATAAATTAAAACCACACTAACCTTAAGAAGGAAAATTATATGATGACATAAGTATGATTAAAGAATGCATAAGGCCCTATAAATAATAACCCCGGCTTTAATATCCATGTCTCTAATATTTATCATTTCCCTTTAGCTTGGTGTGTACAGCTCTTTCTGCAAAAGAAAGGGATTCCAAAAAGAGAAAAAAAAGAAAAAAAAAAAACTCATAAGCAGATCTTGCATCTGACCTGAAAATCCCATGATTTGATTGATCTTAATGCCCATGGCTCTGAATATGATAATTTTAATATTAATGAGCAAATGAGCAGTTTTATTATGCATGCTATATAGTTAGAACTAATAAGCTTCTGGGTGAGAGAGGAGAGAGAGAGAAAGGGAAAGTGGGATAGGGTGGGGGGCAGATCGCTCTTTTGAGCTGATGAGACGACGCTGAGATATTAAACTACCTTTCATTTATTTCGCTCTCAATTCTTACGAAAAAAAAGGAAAAAAAAACACATTTGGACCGTTAATCACATGACAAGCCCATTGCTGATCATCCTGCTAATGCTTACAAAGGAAATTGTGGAGCTCTAGTTGTAAATAGATCACCAGGAGATATTTCTAAAATCGCTGAAACGATAGGATTTGTTTGGGAAAGAAGGAGTGAAACCGGTTTTAAACAGGAGGAGCTTTGATTTCTTCTCGTGCAAAAGAAATCCTGAGAACACATCTTGTCAAAACACTGTTACACAGCAAAACATGGAGCATACTGTACCTAACAATCTAGGAAAGGGCACCGATCTCAACGCATGCCCCCTCAAATCCGTGATCACACACCCGTTTGCTCATTTGCATCCCAAATCCAAATTAATTCACTTTGCTAAATCTAGTGCCGTGACACATCTTGCATGCTGATGACTGGCTGCTGGAGTTTTTCCTCTGTACAGCCACTGAGGCTGAAGAAAAGGTAAAACAGATGACATGCAAGGGGACCACGGGATGAAACACTGACGACTCGGCTTAGTTTCCTTTATCAGCACACAGACACGCTCCTGGCTGAAAGCACGTGCTGCGGGACAGACATTTTTCACCACCTTTGTAAGGCTGGACAGGACCATAAAGTTGTAGCGACATACAAATGGGGTTCTTTTGTGTAAGTAAATAAAGAGTTCACCCCTCAATGACATCCCCATTCTCGCTTCCTCCCCCATGCTTTAGTTAACCCCGCTCCTATGCATTTGTGTGCTAAGATGTCTACCAGAGAGCTGGTTAACAGGCAAACCAGCCACCTTTCCTTGCAATTAACCGTTGATATGCGAGGGAAGGTGGTTTCAGGACTAGGAGGAGGGGTGTATCTCTTAACAAAAGGTGCTGATGATGGAGTGGCTGCTGTATAATTAGTGCGTCAAAGCCCTCTCCTATCCACACCGGGCCTCCGCTATTAATTGCACCAAATTAGAAAACGATATGTGAGGGGGGAATGATTCTTCCAGCTGTCATTTCTAAACAGAAAAGGCGGCGTGGTGGAAAAATAAATAAAAAGAAAAAGAATGAGCTCTATTCAGGAGAAGGAACATGAGGAGTACTAAATAAATCTGGGCTGTCTTCACATGAGCTTTGAGAGGATTACCTTCCAAGTTGCAGCGTTGCGTCGAAAGTACGCAAATGTGCGCGTGAACCAGCTGTAGATTTCGTTAAGCGTTAGCTGCATGTCGGCGGAGTCCATGATAGCCTGAAATGAAATGATCAATGTTGGTTTGAGAATGGCAAAGATGAGAAAAGGTGGATCAGTTTGTTTAAACCCTAATTAGGCAAAAGTCCATTTTTTTTCTCCCCACTCACCTGTCTTATGAGGGTTGCGTAAGTAAATGGCGGCCTGACGTCTGCATTCTTATAAAACTCGTAGTTTGGGGCAATCTCTGGAAAAATAAATACTGTGTCACCACCTGAAATAATTGGCAAATTTCATACCTTTAGGTGCTGAATTAGCTCAAGGTTTCATCAAATTAAAATGGGGAGGGGTTGGGGGGGGGGGAGGGACAGAGAGGGAGGGGTGGGTTGAAAGGGAGGGCACATCAAATCAGCACTTTCCATGTCTAACAAAATGCATTTTTAATTAATCTCTCTCGTGAGAGATATTAAATGCTTATACATTGGTATATGAGATCCATGTAGTTAGTTAGGGTTGAAGTGAATAATTTATGCTTCTTCACACTAAACACAGAGAGTAAATATAAACATCAAAGACGGGCCGTTTAAAATGCAAACCTTAATACATGGGATGTCTTAATGTAATAAATATTGTATTTTTCCACCATTATTTGAACTTAATTAACATTCATGCAATATTTATGCGTAGCGGAAGTTCTTGTCCGTTTACATTTAGAGTGATTAAATACAGGCTTGCTTTTATAAACCTCACAGACTTCTTAACACACCACTGCAATTGTGTTCATTTAAGATGTGTAATGTGCAATTCTCAGTTTTCAAACTATTAATTGCACTAAGGGTTGAGGCATAACTATAATTTACTGTTTCAGCATTCATTAAATTTTAAATTAAACCAATTTAAAATGACAAAAAAAGTGGAATTTAATTCAGTTATTAAGCTAAAAAATAAGGCTATAAAAAAATACTCTTCCCCTTTGAGGTTTTTCACATTTATATCACAATCTAACAGAACCTTCAGCAACTTTCCACTAGCTGCTAAAGAATCCCCATTGCATGATGCTTCCACCACCATGTCTTTAGCTCCAAATGTATTTATTTTGATTGCTACTTTGTAATGGCATTCATTTTGTGTGGGTCAGATACATTTTTTGTACAATATATTGAAGATCTTTGTGAAAATATATATATATATGACACAATACATTTTATCGGTTTCTTTGTGAATTGGTGTTGCGTGCAGTGCTGAGTAGTTGGTCCTACCCGACGACAAAGGCATGGAGTATTTGTCCGAGTGGCGTCTGCGCATGGCTCCCATGCTGGGGACGTTGGCTCCTCCCAATACCGATGGCACCTGGGGCATAGCAGCCATGGGCGTGATGGGGGCTGTGGGCGTGGTGGGCGTCTGAGGTAAGTTCGGGGGTGACGCTGAGGGCAGGTTCTTCGACATGGTGACACTCGACACCAAGTTGAGCTACAGCGCGAGGAAGACAAAATCTGAGTCATGACTCATGATGTGGGAAAGAGATACATACACATGTGGGTTAAGGAGGAGGCGGAAGGCATCATTTTGTGGTTTCTCTGACAGATTGGAGCGTCTGCACTGCTCCTCTCTAACACAGCTGTGTTTCCACTAACAAGGCTCGTGGAGAGGAGCCAGCCCATCTCCACTAATTACCACCACCAAATTGTATCATAAGAATTCTAATTAGAGCACGCTGTTCAAGATTATCCAACGATCAGCCTCCGTGTTATCCCAGCCCCATCTCTCTTTATCTCTCTATTTATCACAGCCTGCCTCTCTCTCACACTCCCTCCGTGGCTATCTTTCTCCACTACAAACTCTCATCATTCTTAAACAGTAGAGAGTTAGCCCCTAAAACTCTCACTGGTGTTGTGACTGTGCCAAAATGGTTAATCTAACTCTGGTCCAATTATGGATATAAGCTTACTGATATTGACAGATATATGTTTGCATAGCTGAACAGTCTTGGCACATAAGTGCATCCTGAGAAGCACAGCTGACTTCAACAATCCTTGCCTTACAAAAGTATTCAAGCATTTTTTATGCTTAAAACCAACATGTAATTCAATCCCAGTATTAGTGTGGCTAGAGGCATTGAAGAATGCCTCAATCAGATGAAACCAGCATAGACATGTTTGGTCTTCATGCACATATTGTGCTTTGCAGAGAAAGTCGTTAAACCCAAGCTAAGGTGAATCTTGACCTTTCAGAAGAACAATTATCTTAATGATCCGGAGCGAACATACAACTGTTTAGATGGAAGTCATGTATTAAGAGTCTTCTAGTCTCTTATCTGCCAGACTGTTTCCTTTTGTTTGGTTACAGGATGCATTTTGAGATAAGACCCTAATTTGATAATACAATAGCGTTAAAAATTTAAGGTCAATATAAGAATACGTTAATGAATGAATAAAAAAAAAGTACTTCTCTATGGCAAAGTTTCAACGTCTTTACTGGCAAACAGCAAATTTCCGGACTGCTTTGATGTGAGGATTTAGAGAATTACCTCTTGGTCAGAATAAACCCACAAACTCTGAAGTCATAAAATACTGATGCAAAAGGATTTGCACATGAAGAGTCTAATTTTATTAAATGCAGTGCTTGGTAGTATGGCATTTTAAATTTACTGGCACACCAACACTTTAACTGATGGAACTTAAAGTCAACAACTTAGAGAGTTTAAAACCGCAAATTCAAAGTGACTTTTAGGGTAGAGAGAAGTTTAGAAAGTCCGAGTTCCTCCACACAAAAAGAAATCCTGGATGGACAGCCACGGTCAGTCAAGACATAAACACATTTTTCGGTGAATCAAAGTCCCATCCAACCCAAAGTGTGCCAGCGCTGCTCACATTAATAGTCCAGATTTTCCACCACTCCTGCATTTGCTTCCCAAATCTCATGTGAGAGGCTCTAACCGACTGGAAAATTCCTAAGTGACCTTTAGTCCCTGCGCTAATTTAGCTGGAATGGTAATGACGTTGTTACATATTCAAACTAAATTGCCTTAATTGTGAGCCTAGGAGTGGAATGCATTCACAGTAAGATTTCTGAATCGAAGGCGACTTGAAAGATGGAAAGCAGTGTGGGAGCCAAAGGAACTTGGAGATGGATGGACAAAGCAGAGGGGGAAGACATTGGTGGTAATTCGTTCTCGTGTTGATAAATATGATAAAATGTCAAGTAAGAGGGACTCTAGCTATGAAGAGACTTACAGAGGATGATTATGCACTGACGCAGCGATAATGAGCTCCTACAGAGATGGGCTAAGATAATTTAGACTGTGTTTTTTATAACTACAGCTAAAGTAGCATAACACAAGCAGCACATTTGAAGTGGAACTAAACAGATAAAGGATTTTATACAACTGTCCTCTCAGACAGATTTTACTCCTTAGCTGTGGATATATGCAGCTCCTCCAAAGTAACCATGAATTCCCCAGCTGCTTCTCTGATTAATGCTTTCCTTATCTCATTTTTTAAAACCTTTTTCTTCTTCTTCCCATTTATACTACCAAATAAGTGCCTCTGCATCATGATATCCAATTAAAGTACACTGAAATCCATATGAATACACTACATTTCTATCTATTGACACATGATCATTTATATTATGCAAAAGCTTCTGGTATCTTTTCCAACTTACCCAAATCCCACCAAAACAAATCTTTATCTTGTCAGATTTTAAAAAGTTATGGAGGTCTTAGGAGAAAAAAAAAAATCCTAATGACTTAACTGTTCGTTTAGGAATTCTGTCTGAATTACCCCCCACCATCAAATGCAATTAGCTGCTCTTTCATGTGAGCTTTATGTAATGCAATACTTCATTAGCATCATTCATTCATATTCAGGCCTGGATTATAGGCTGGAAATTCTTTATTTGATGAGATGGAGGCAAGCTGCTGTAGTTTTAAAGATGTAAAATAAGGCCTACATAGAGAGAGACTGGGAATAATGAAGAGAGTTTGATTTCTTGTGGAATTATGGAATAATTATCCTATCTTGTGATTATCTACTTTCTATGATGAGAGGTGATTGGGAAAATGATTCTTTTGAAACAAGGCACTTACTAAGCAGCAGAAAAAAACCTCGTTAACAATGTTTTGATGTCTAATATTTCAAAATTTCATTAAATTACAAAAAGGGGGGTGTAATGTTTTCCAAAATGCATAATTGGGATATGAAATTCAAATATCACTAGAGGAGTTCCTTTCATAAGCGATCAGTTTAGAGAGAGAACAAAATTCAGACCGCAATCATTTTTTCTTATTTTCTCTGTGGTCAATTTTAGCTTCGTGTCAACATCCCACAGTCTTTACCACTGAGCTGTTATTTTCTGCTGTTTGTTGTCAAAATGACACATCTTCTCCCCTCTCATTCCACTTCTGAGCGCTTCTACGGCCACCGAGCCAAACAATCACCAGCAGCCAACAGGTTGTTTTGGCCTATTATAGCTATCACAAAGAAATGACCCCCACCGTTTTAGCCGAGGACTCCGTCGCTCCGCCATCTAATACACTTCCAAACTCTATTGTCCTCTCACAATCCACAATAAGTGATAAGGAGCACATGTAACTGTGTATTACAAATCCCATTCGCCTCCCTTTCATCTTCTGTCGCACGCTTAAACTGTTCATTTTCTGCCATCGGAGGCGAGCGTGTTTACGGGAGGCAGAGCAATATGCACTCACTGGTTTGGGAGATGACTTTGGCTCTGAGGGCCGCATGTGCAAGTGGGTCATCATTGCCTGAAGACGCTCGCGTTCTTTAGAAAGCTGTTAAGAGAGAAGGAGAAGAGAGAGTGCATTAGTGTGGATTAAAGAGGAAAGGAAAGACGGAGGAAGGAAAGGATGAACAGAGACAGGTCAGGCAAAACAAATAGCATTTTCATGTTTTTGTCAATATCCGAATTTAGGTCAGTGAAGGCTTTGACAGTAACAAGCTGGTTGGGCCATAAATTAGGTGGTCCTGAGTGTCTGCTCAAAGTCCTGTGGACACTGTTAGGGGGATGCAGTGCATCTAGCAGCTGCCGAGAGGTGAAGGGGTCTCCCAAACGGGGTGCCAGGCAGCCCCGCCTCTCTGGTCCAGTTAGTGGCCCCAGCCGGTGCTCATCATCAATCTAATTCAGGTGGAGTGACAGGGACTGGACCTTGAGAAAGGCTGAAACCCTACCGCCCCTTAATAACACTGACATACACAGAGCTGGGCCTCATTACAAGTGATGGGTCTTGTGTTGGAAAGAAACTGAGATGATGGAGCTCAGGACTGAAGGAAAAGGAGGAAAAGAGGGGAGTGTAGAAAGAACAAGAAGCAATCATATTGGGACAGTAGAATTTTGCAAAGATATTTGAAACTGAAATGTACATTGTTTCTTTTATTCTAAGTTATTTTCTTTTAGAACCTCTAAGAGTTGTGATTAAATATAAATTCAGAAATCAAAGTGCTCAATAAAATTTTTGAAGATCTTGAAGCACATTTGGGATTCAAAGTTTTACATTGAATCAGAATATTCAAATAAAAATTAAAGTGAATTCTTCTTCAATTCTTTTTTTGTGTAAGATTATAGTACAGCAGCAAAAAGTGATTTTATTGGGCCTTTTTTTTTTTTTTTGATTGGACATTTTTACCAGGGGTCCCAAAACATTTGTTCGCCTCCTTCTTTATTTGTTTCAAAAGCCAGAGCGCCGCTCATCTGCAGTGCTGAGTAATAATGTCACTCAATCAGCGCTCTCATTATCTATCCAACATGACTTCTTAATAAGGTCACGCTCCACCTACTGAAAATAGTTCCCTCCTTTTGAGCTTTCTTCAGGTGCAAAGTGCAGTTAATTAACACAGCAGACTGGGAGAGATGCGCTTGCTATTAATTGGAAAGAAAAAGGAGGAAAAAAAAACGGAAGCAGAGGAGAAAATAAAGCATGAGCTTAATTCAATTAAAACAGCCATAATGGCTTTCGTTGTAAGGCCTGAGGATTCCTTTGTTTAGCGGCTTTGTTGAATTCAGCAGGTCCTGCTTGTCTGGAAGTATAAAAAAAAAAACACAATGTGGTCTTTCTCCTACCTGTGCAAGTTTTACTAAATAAACTTTTGACTGCTGAAGCCATGACTAAAAATTCTAGTGGTGAAAACACTATTTGCTGTGATGTAGTCTTGGCACTTTTCTGCTTAAAAAAGAAACTTACTTGTATTTCAAGCTGCTGTACGACTTGCATCTGGACTCTACACTGGGCTGTGCTTCTGTCATCGAGAGCGTGTTCACTGTTTAGGTGCCTGGAAGGACAAATAGATACATATGTTAATCTCACAGTGATATTACTTTTAAAGAGACAAATTTCATTATTGTATTATTTTGATGCATAATTATGGTTTAATTTAAATTAATTAATTGTAGCTATGGGATCACTGATCTGTTGGAAGGCAAACTCCTGGCTGGTCAAATCTCTTTGATGGCTTTTCTTTCAGTAGAGCCCATTTAGCGCCATCTTCCCTTCTGCTGCTGTAGAAAGGTATCCCCATAGCACACTGCTTTCACCACCAAGCTTCACCGTTGAGATTGTGTATTTAAAGTGATGAATACTCTCACTTTTTCATCACACTTGATTTAGAGGGATATTGTTATGCATCCCAATATTGCTTCAAAGCTGCCCTGCAATTTTACCCCTTACCTGTCTGATGTGTCCTCTAGTCTTCAAAACGCTGTTTTATTCACAAATTCACTAAGGCATTCACAGAGTAATGCTGAGATTGCTTTAAACCTTGTTAGACTGTATGTTGATAATAATAATAATGCAATGATCTGCTGCTCAGGGTTTTTGGTACCATTAACTTTGCGTTTTTTGTTAGGCGTTGACTTATGTTGGTCTGTGTTTGCTGTGACAATGTAGTATATATTTTTTAATTACATCCTAGTTTCTTTTTGATGTTTTTTCAGTTATTTTCTATTCAGAATCCTTTAGCCTTTGCCTTCGTTTTATTTTGCCATTCATTGTTACAGTTATCTTAAGGTTTTGTTTCCATAGCATCATAGTTATTTTAAGTTATCTCCAGCCCTTTCCTTATCCTCTAGTTTTTCCTTTGGTTATTCTGTATTTTCCAGTCATCAGTTTAATTCCTCTTTAGCATTTATTTAGGTTCTTTTTAAGTTATACTTAAGCCATGTTGTATTCCCTGGTTACTCTCTGTCGCCCCCAAGAGACCCTCACCTTTCACTTTAGCTCCCTTCTAGCTATTCCTGTTCACACCTGCTCCCAATTACTTGATTACTCTATCCATTCATTCATTCACTGTTTGGTGTATATACTACTCCTGTGCAGTTACTGTTTTCTGGATTATTTTAATTTTGTGTGTTAAAGTTGTGTGTTACCGAAAAACCTGTTTAAACCCGGGAACAATTGGCTTTTAGTGGTAGTGGGAACAGCTCTCTGATCCGTATCTACCTGGGTCAAACAACTCGGCAAACGTCCCGCGTAAAATTGTCTCGGCTGTGATCGGCATGCTGTGGGAACACCAGAGCCGTTACGTGACGCAACTGAATGCAACGTACCAACGTCAACACAACGCGCCAGCCACTTCTGATTTAACAATGGTGACATCACCTGGGCTCACTCAGCATGATGGTTTCACATAGCCATGGGGGGACATAGGTCATGCAGCTTGCCAGCTTTAAGTTAGACCCCACATTTTTTTTGCCAGTGGGAAGGGAACCAAATGAAAACTGTTAGCGGGTTGATCCATGTTTAAAAAACACATTTAAACCTGTTTTTTTCAGTGGGAAAACGGCTTTAGAAAGCACCATGAGTTAAAACTTACATGACTTGGTTTACCTTGATGAAAATTGTGATGGATAGTAATTACAGTATCAACTTTTGTTTTTATGATAATTTCTATACACAGACAACTATCTATGAGATCCCAGTTAGAAACCATTGTTCCCATCTGAAATAAAGTAATTAGCAGGAACATGAGGGTGTGAGGCACCATCTTTAACATGACAATAGTTCTGCGCCAGTTTAGATGGTGGTGGTGGTGGAGGAGGTGTCAGCGCCACCCTGAGCGCTGCTTTCTTCTAAGAATAAAACGTGCGGGCCCAGCAGAATGGCTTTGTCTCCCTAATTTATTGAAAACAATACACACAATTTAACACCAGCAACATTTGACACACAAAGGTGGCTCTTAACTTGAAGGTGCATTATCTTGCCACAGACATATTAAGTATATCTGGTATGTTCGCCTCATTAGAAAGAAAAAGGGCAGCCAGACAGCCATAACAGTCAATGAAGGTTTTTGTCTCGATTGGATTTCATCTGTAGGACACAAAAAGCTCAACCATTAAGATAGACCTTTATTCCAGACACACATACGCAGTAGCACAAATATGTAGTTGAAAAAGGGTTCCTAAAGTGTTGTGATGCTGGGTAATGAGCCTCTATCTAAATGATCATTGGAGACAAACTCACAAAGAAAGCTTTGAGGAGACATGCTTATGAAATGCCAGAGCTGCCACTTTATCTGCAGTAATTATAGGTTAGCTTGCAGACCCTTCAATGATCATTTACAGCACAGCCTCCAGTGCATTAGAGACAGTACAAAATCTCTTCCTCTGTGGCTTTCACTTTATCTGAGAACACACACTTGCTTACATTATCACCAACACACACTTCCACCACATATTTTTCACTGCACGCCCCCTATTCGCGTCCTGTTTATCTGCAAAGCACAAAACAAGACAACTCATTGAGCTGCTTTCTCTTGGCCTGTCAATCAGAAGCTGAGCAGAACATTCGTAATCACAATAGTCCTGTACCTTTCAATTAAGACTGAACACATTTTGAAGCGTTTCATCTCGTCCCTACCTTTGCTTTCCAAGCCATTTCAGGTCTAATGCTCTGAAAGGTTTTATTATAAATCAAGAATGAGGTAGTATAAAAAAAAGAAGAAAAACAGGGAGAGGTGGGGAGAGAAATGCATGAGGGACAGCGCTGGTTGATTTCCACAGCCCTGTGCCTAATTGCTGTTTCAGAACACGCATGCAAAAAAAAGGGGGGCATTTCATTAATCATTTAATCACGTCCCTCGCAGGATGAGGGAACTAATGTTGCAAATACCCTTTTCATTTCACTGCCCATAATGCTATCTTATGCACTTGATGTATGGTGTGTGTCATGAATTACAGCTGCTTCAAAAGCACAGAGATGGCTGCTCGCTGTCCCTGAAGATACCTCATTACAAAACAAGAGCAAAAAAAAAGGAAAAGATGTGCAAAATCTTTATCGAGCCCACGTCTCATCGACAAGCAGCTACGTTGAGTTAAGCGTGCATGTGTTTGTGTGTGAGGCCTCACGGCGGTCCTGCAGACAGTTAGAGCTTCATACATTCAATTTCACTGCTGGCCAGTTAGCAAGGCGATTACAGGAAGATTACTACGTGCATTTATAAAATATTCAAATGGTGCATGTTCTGCTGAGCATTAATAATGCCAAACAAAGACAGAAATGGAGGAGAAGGGGGTGGGCTGGCACCCAGAACATATAAAAAAATGACAAAAGAAAATCCTAGGTATTGAAATGAGGAGTAAAGAGACTGTTTTATGTTTCTAACCTGTCTAAACAGCAAATATAATCTTAATCCCCAGTTTTTCACCTAAATGTTCAATCTATTTACGTTTTTTTTTATGTGTAACAACAGATCAGGTGTGATTTTATAGTGGGATGTAAATGATATATAGCTTTCAAAAAAGTGTGATGTACATTTACTCTCAGCCAGCATGACTCTGGTGACTTTGGGTAAAACTTTTCCTGATTGCTTTCAATTAACAAGAAAAAAATGTTCACTATGACAGTAAAAAGATACGTAGATTAGACAGACACCCTTTAATTTCAGAAAAGAATGTAGAATAAACTTTCACTCTGATAACCTTAAATAAATCATTTTAAAATGTGCCTTTCTTAGAGGAAAAAAAGTCGTAAAAAAAACATCAAACACCATAAGATGACAGTAAAAAAACAAGAAAAAAAGACTTGGAATAGTGTTGTTTGCATTTATATTCAGCCCTCCTGACTCCAATACTCTTAAATAAACAAAATATTGATTCACATGAGCTATAAATTAATAGGTAAAGAAAAATAAAACACGAAAAAAAAAAACATGCCTGTGTAAATTCGCAGTCATCTGGGTCATGGCAACTATAAAACAGGCTGAAATAGGAAAGCAACCAGCCTTTCAAAAAATATATATATATATATATTTTTTTTAAACACGTTTTTCTTTTTTTTTTTTGTGGATGATGGGCAATTGGGAAATATGATGTAGACTGGAAGATGTGGCCACAACCTTTGTTGTTAAACCCCAAGTAAGACTTCCTGCAATATTAGAACATGCAGCTTGTCTTAAAGATCTCGAAGGGTTTTACCCCGTAGCTACAAACATGAATATGTATAGGCCATCAACGTCCACCTAGGGCCCAATAATAAATCTACTCAAGCCAGCGTATATACAGTGTACACTTCTGCTAATTGTCTGTGTGTATTATCAGGGGCTATGAAGGCCCATCAGAGAAAACTCTGCCCCTAACTGTGCGTACATGACACACTAAAAGCAATTCAGTAGCATACTTTTTAATGAATGCATTAAAACACTGCCTGTTTACACACAGTGTCTTTTGTGGACACTGTCACCATTTGGCGATAGTGCCCTGTCTTTTAAAGGTCCTCGTAGGGTGGAGCATGGCTTCACCATGAAGGGCTGGGGACCTGCTTAAGTAAATGCCTGTCTCGACAATGTGCATATGTGTACATTATATAAAGACAGAGACATTTGGTTACAGCCTTGTGGGTTTAATTAGTAGCGGGTTACAGACACCAGCGTTCAGGTTAGTGGCTGAGCTTGCCATTTTAACACAGAGCCTGCCTCAGTGCCACTAATAAGGAGAGCAGAACGGTGACAGAACATTGGAGAGTGGTGGGAGGCGATTTTTCCTTCTTTTAAGGAAAGAACTTTCCCTTTCAAATACAGTGATGTATAATTTTATTGTCTTGTATTTTATCAAATCGTATCACAGAACTAGAGATAGATGCTATTAGAAAAATGTATACAATGACGATATCATTGGTAGCTCATGTGATAATACAATTGCTATTAGGTTCAAATGGTCATAGCTATTTCATTGGATAATATGTGACCTTTAAACTCTAGGACACAATTAATTTTGCCAAGATTCATTCCATTGAGGCCTCAATCAATGTAATAAACATTTCTTTCCTGTATAACTCTGAAAAATAAGATGGACGTAGCTAAAAACCACAAAGAATTTGAGGCTGGACCGAATGTTATTTTTAAGGTAACATCAGAACACCATGTATCCTTTTCGTTCAGTTTCACATTTATTATGCTGATCTTTTCAACTCCATTTGTGTCCTTTTATTTTTACCAAAGGCTGCTCACAAACACAAGTCTTGCACATAGCCTTAACGCCTTCATGTGTCTCAGCCCTCTTTGTCGTATATTAACACAAATAGAACCACAAACCAAAAAAAAACCCAGTCGCTCAAGAAACATTCCCATGGATATTATTTCATTTTGAACTTCACAGAGCTAATTCGGGGTGCCATGCTACCTCGCGGCTACCTTTTGCAGGTGAGACACTTTAAAGTGCACCGTGGAGCCGTTAAATGCTGATCTTGACAAGTTTCTTCATGCAACAAAACAATAGATGACTAAAGGTGTCACTGCTGCTGAGCTGAGCTCCTGCAGCGAGCAACAACTTGGGTCTGTCCCCAACCCCTTCCCAACAAACGAACCCCCCCGCACCTTCCACTAAAGTACCAACATCTTAGCTGTCATCTAAATCTGACATCCGCTTTATGTAACCCCCGTTTAAACTGTGCCTGTGTGTGTGTGTGTGTGCAGATCAGTGTGTGTGTGTGTGTCAAATGGCATCTCTGGAAACATAAAAGGACTCCCTCTGACATCTACAATGACTGCTCCAAGGCATGGCACCGAGCCGCCATCTTTGTTCTAATGACAAGCCTGCCTTCTTTGTTGCCTTCTGTTTTCTTGCGCTCGCTGGGTTATAGCATGGTTTGTGTATGCGACTCAGCCAAGTGTTGCGATTCTGTAACAGGCAATGTTCTGCAAAATATTCTTACAAAACTGTCTGTCGATCTGCTCACCTGTTTTTACTTTGAAATCAGTGTTTTCTCTCCGCTTGTCTTCCTGGCTCCTCTGGTTTGACTTCACAAGCATGTGTTGTTTCATAGAAGCTTATCAGCTTACTGTATCCAGCATAAACATGCATCTTTTACACTGTGCATCTCTAGTCATGGATAAAGTGACCAACTAAGCTACCTACACAGAGTATCCTTAAAGCACACAGACTAGCGTGTGTTTGCGTGTGAACAGAGCATACATTGCCAAAAGATAGAGTGAAGCTTTCTATTTAGTGAGTGCGCTTAGGTGATTGGATATGATATCAGAAAACCTGCTAATCCTTCACTGTCTTGCAGAATCACAGGTACATCTTTCCCCAAAGCTTCAAGGCAAACCGTTCTACCAGAACTACAGGATGTGTAGTCTTGAACTGTGCATCACATTCTAAATAACTTTTACCACTTTCATTATATAGATATCATTTAACATTTTATCGGATTCTAACCACAAAAAATATTTGATTTTGTTCAGGTTTTGATGTGTGTCATTTATTGCAGCCCGTTGAGGTTAATGAAAAACAAATGTATAAGGTATTCATCCTATGTTACCTCTAAATAAAATCCAAGAAAAGCAACATTAAGTCTACCAACGCAAGGATGTTCTCCTTAATTAACAAGTCAGGGAAGGAGAAGGTAATTCTGACTCAGGTGGGAGAATTTGAAAACAGAACAGCTACTAGAAGCATACTCCACAAATGTGGTATTTATGGAAACCTTGTAAGAAGAGAGCAATTCTCTGAAGGAAAGTAGCAAGAAAACCAACTCTGCGGGTTGCATTGAGAAATTTGAGGTTGAAGGAGTTCTTCTCCGATGTGGCACAAAAATGTAACATTTCTGCCAAACTCTGCAGTGGAAATCATTGCATCTGAAACATGGTGGTGGAAGCATTATGCTTTGGTTGACATGTGGTAAAGGATTCTTTCCACCAAGAAAAACAAAGCCAAATACGAAACAAAATAAAAACTGGTGCAGCAACCAGCAGCAGCACTAGTTTGTAGAAATCCATTTGAACACAATAAAACTTCCCAGATCTGCAGTTCTAAATATGTGTCTGTGAAATCTTTACAAATGCATAAATTCAATGCCACCCTACAACTACCTAGTACCTTGTAGTAGTCTAATTCTGTCACATAAGATCAAACAGTGTCTTTAACGTCACTAAATGCAAAAAAAAAAAAAAAAAACAGCTACCGGTTCTGACATTTATAACACACATATCCCAGAGAATATAACCAAACGCTTCTTACACAGCAGCTATAATATCTATTCATGCCCATTTTGTTCAAAAACAATGCAGTCAATTATAGACCTTTAAACTTTATTTGCCTTGACAGCGTGTGAAAACGAGGCCTAATCTACTGCCTCGAAGTCTCTTTGAAAAGACTTGAAAACACTGTTTATTGGAATAATATCAATCCACAGATACTCCTCCGAGCTGTAATTCACAAGATGCTGTAGAATTAGTAAATGCTTGACCCAAATCCTACATTCTACTTTTTTCTCTTTTTTCTATGAGTACGTCTCCTAGCTTTCTGCACTTTATTACACTCAATACTGCAGAGAATTGCATGACTGGGAAAATAAGTGGATACATTGTCCTGATTTGGGGAGTTTATGAGAATTCACATGGACATTTACAGCCCATGAAAAACACTCACCAGATCGTTATTTCACAGTTAATTACAAATCTAATTAGAATATTCAAATTAAAGCTTTCCCTTTCTTTTCTTCTCTGTGTGAGAGCGACGAGTCAGGGATACAGGGAGGGAGAGCGGCTCTCGGTGAGTGGCAATGTGATAACCTGTAATCGGCAGCGCTGCAAACACCTTCTTCCTTTGATGTCCCCCCACTAACATCCTGGCAACAAAGCCGGCCAATTACAAATGAGCTAATTAACTAAATTGTTGATGGAGCATGAAGAGTTCATTTGCTCCGGCGCCTGCACCATGACAACAGTGAATGGGGGCCCTTTGTTGTGGAGGCAAGTGTGCGGCCGTGCGACTTGCCATTAGCTTTTGACGCTTTTTCACAAACCTATCAGGTCCCTCCACGCTGCGGAGGAAATTTGTTATGGATCAGAGTTGGTTTGAGTCATGCTTTGCAGGAGCAGAACCCTGTCAACTAGCTGTCTAGAGGTCAGAATGTGCCCTGTAAAAAGACAGGAAGGGTTTCCGAGTAAGGCCACCAAGAAAGGAGGGACAAAAGGGATTGCTTTGATGTGTCCTACTAAAAATAAAACATGGCAACATGAACAGGGTTGGGAAAGAACTCACACTCTAAACCTTTTTGTTATTTTGTCACAATACAACCAGGACATTTGAAGCATTTCATTGGGACTGATCAGGGGTGTCTAAAGTCAGGCCCTTGATGATTTTATGTGGCCCCTAGTATAAAAAAGACCTGCCAGCATAGACTGTAGGTGTATATGGAGCCTCTAACTTTTAGGAAGAGGTTTCCACAGGAAATATATATGTTTGTCTTGTATTTCTCAAGCTTTTTGCCATAATATCTACCCTTACCGTACATGTAAGTCAATAGACAACAACTTTTACTCAAAAGTAAACTTGAGTCATTATTTAAACTTGGTTGAGCAGGGCAAGGACTTTAACAGAAATAAATATGTAAATAAACAAAACCCTATCTTTTTCTAGTTCCAAAATGCCTACACATTTCTAAAATGCCTCCAGTGAGTTTTAGTTTGTTCTCCTTTCAACTCACACCAGCTAACACAACACAACCCCGCTGAAGAAAAATAAAATCCCCACAGCATGATGCTGCCACTACTATACTTCAAATGGTTCAGTTTTGGTAACATTCAATGATGGTCTCACCAAAACAGAGCATGTTACGTGCTACTTTGTACTTATCTTGTCTTATCTTGTGGTAGTGAGGTAAAGTATATGAATGCCAACTGCTGCTAAGCACTGCAATTGAGAGATATGAGAGCTCATGGAAACAACACCACATCACATGAGAAAATGTTCTTACTTCAGAAACTGTCCAAAGTCCTCACACATGTTCTCACAGCCAGGCCACTTGCACACACCATGACCGTATAGAGGGTGGGTTCGTCCGCCTTCTTCATGAAGTGAGCTGGAGGAGGATCAAACAGAAGAGAAGATTCAAAATGGACATAAGAAGTCACATTGTTTGCCTGGATATTTATTATCCAAGAAGGAGAAAAAGGTAGGGCAAAGAAAACAGAAATATACAAATTAAAAGTTTGGGAACAAGGGACATCTGACAGTTGTGACTAATGTGTAAAGAACCTCTCAAGAAAATCCAGAATGAGTCGGAACTGCAGCCACAACTCCATGTTGTAAATCCATTATCAGAGAGGAATAGGCACTGGCTTTCAAGTAAACATTAAAAATCCAGACAGCCATATAATTCTCATCAGGAGATTAATACAGTGTGTAACTTATGTTCTTTGAGGACAAGGGTGTTCTGGCGTTTTCAAATGGCACCCAAATAAGTTACGACCCTGCCTAGACAGCACATCCTATTAAAGATGACAGTTTAACCTTTAGGCTTGGCACTGGTGTGTGAGTGTGCTCATGGAAATGTGTGTGAGGGTATGTGGATAGGTTATGCCTGAGGATGTGTGTGGTCGAAGCCTTGGCAGATCTCACACAGCGTTTTTACAGAGGGGCTTCCCCCACATCGATCCGTGGCGTGTTAGTAAGCAGAGCTCCTGACAATACTCCTTGTTCGATCATTACGAGGCACCACACACCCCTCGGGGACACAAACAGATGTTTTCTTTTCTTCCTTGTCTTCTCATTTAGTTTCCCTCTCTTCTTCTATGTCTTTTTTTTCTCTCCAAGCCTACTTTTAGTGGGACTGCAGAGATAGCATCTACTTTAAACCAATTACACAGCACTTCCACCTCTATTGCAAGTCTCTAAACACAGACACACACGCACACATCTCTATCCTTAGTCCTTATTATAATATCGCCCAAGAAAAGCCTTTGAATAATGCATGGCCCGGATAGGCAGATATGTGAACAGCCAGTGTTTCGGTGCTTGGTGCATTTATAAAAGACGCCATCACAAGAATAAACATCCTAGAAACGCCACTCAAGGCATCACATATTCTGTTTACATGACAAGCAAGCAAGGAAGGTAATTTTCAAAAGAGGAAAAAAAAAGAGACAAAGCACTAAATACTTAATGTACAAGCGGGTTACCTTGTCTTGTCTGCCAAAAAGGTTTGTTGCAAGTGTAAGTGTGCCTGCCTGTATGGCTTCTACACCCTGCGTTTGATAAGAGTGTGCAAGCTAAGTTTGTTTACAGGCTCCCATGGGAGCACAATGTTGTTTTAGCTCTTGTTTTCTTTGCTTGAATATCACTAAGATACAAATAATCTATTGAATAAATAAACAAAACGTTGTTTTCGACAACATCAAGCAGCGTGTGGTGTAATCTCTAAATGGCCGCCTCATGGTGTTTTCTCTACCTCTCGCGCTCTCTTTCCCGCTCTCGTCTGTGGTTGAGGATGGGCGACTGTCCATTGGTGAGGGACTGATGCGAGATGGGCGGCGATGCTTTGGCAGGGTTGGAGGAGGTAGTTGAAGTGGAGTTGTTGGTGGAGAGGTCTAACCCGCTGCTGACCACTCCGGTCCCAGTGTTGGCGCCACCAATGCCGCCACTGCTGTTGTGTTTGATGCCATTGTCCTCCATGGTGTGACCGCCACCACCACCTCCAGTCACATCTTTCCAAAGTTGCTGGAGCTCCGCTGGGCTTAAACCACCTGTAGACATCAATGAGAAGGTAGATGTTATATTCCAGGGCTACCTAAACTGTGTTTTAAAACCTTTAAATATTTTAAGCAGTCATATAATGTTGAATTTGCAGCTAAAAGGCTTCAATCAGTCTATTCACTACATACTTAAATTCTTTGCTAAGTCAGACATTGACGTTAACTGGAAAATGGCTCGCTGGTCCATAAAAATAACATTGAATTCTTGCCTGTTCCACCTTCAGGTAAACACGGTTTTCTATTTTAGTGTGGAAACTCATTATACAATATTTACTCCTCTGATCTAGTCAAAAACCTCCCTGTCTGTTGTTTTCAATCTCCGCCATTTTAGTTGTAAACAACAAACAGGAGTGTTTACTTGAAACAGAGAAGGAAATGGAGTCTGTTCTCTACTCTCCCCCTGTGTTTGTGCTTTTATTCGTCTCAATGAAGGCAGTAAACAACAACAACAAGCACTGAAAGAAGGGGGAGTGGAGGGATAGAAGCAAAGATGGAAAAAAAACGAACACAAATACTTGCAGAGCAAAGAGAGAGAGGCAGAGGTAGACAAACAGGGCAATGAAGACAAGAAGGAAGAAACTAAACATTCATGTGCAGAGTTCAGGACAAATTGGTCGGTGGGGGAGCATAGCAATGAGAGGGAGGCAGACAGACACTTAAAGAAAACGCAATAGGATTACATGCGCATACCAATTAGAAAAACTAAGACAAGATAGAGAGACATAAAAGGAAAATATCACTTATACCTGCAAACAAATAACAGGAAGTCATGTGCTCCATATCAACACAACTACTTACCTGTTGGGGGCAGGGTCTGTCCGGGCAGGGCGGCCTGACCTGGAGCGGGCCCGGGCAGTGAAAGCAGGCCCTGCCGCTGCATGTTGAGCAGGTGCTGCTGCTGCTGAAGCTGCTGCATCTGCAGGAGCTGTTGCTGGAAGACGAGCTGCTGGGCGGCCAGCTGCTGCTGCTGCTGCTGCTGCTGCTGTTGCTATAGAGAGGAGGAGGAAGAGGACGAGGAGCAAGAGGGGAGCATGGAGAAGAGGAGGGAGAGAAAATTACAGTGGAATTAACAGCTGAGAGAGCAGAAGATGTTGGCTCGCCGTCTGTAATGTGTGTGAGCATTCGGAGAAATCTCCCTCGCCTTTTCAGTGACCTTAGCTTCCCCTCCTTGCTTCTTCCACTGCAGGTTCTAGCTCTCTGTCTGCTCGCATTAAGTCTTCCCTCCTGATTTTCGGGCTGTACCAAAATGCTGCTATCTCCTAACAGAAGTGAGACTGTCAGGGTATGTTTCTGATTGTGTATGATACTAAGCCTCTGGTATAATCCTTCCCCCACCATCCCTGATAGTTAATTGTCTCGTCTTTCTTGAAGCTCTGTTACAGCTTATTTGACCGGAGGGAGCAGACAGAGTGAGAGGTTTATGACTCCACGTGCATTTGAATGCAAAGACCCAAACACACAGGTAGCTCCTCACCCCACCTCCCCTCCCACTCCACTCACCTTACTAGACTGTTTATTGGTGAGCTAAACAACCAATACAACAAGATTGAAAACGTCAAACTGGAAATCTGTTAGCAAAAATATTCAAACCCCAACAAACATCTTCAACACTGTCCCGTTAAAGCACAAAATCTTTTATTTCTAGGACCAAAGGACCAAATTTTAAAAAACAGGTGCAGATGTACAATAAAAGAAAGGTGCCTGGGAATCAAAGATTTTCTCAAAGAAATCAAACTGAAATTCTAATAGAAACATATTGAAAACACAATGTTGCCACCACCATATTTCACAGTGGGAATGGAGAATTCAGGGTTACCTGCAGCGTTAACTGTCCTCCATTAACATTGTACACACCAAAAAGAACAATTTTGGTGCCAGCTGATCAGAACACACCTATCTGCCTGTGTCTGATAGATAGCTTGTGAAAGAGGCAGCAAAAAAGAATATATTATACTATAGTTTTCTTTTAACAAATGCTATCTTTCTGCCATACTTGCGCAAATGCTATTTGGATAGCATGCATGTTGTGTCAAGAAATTAGTCAAACTAATGTTACTGCAGCTTCTGCAGAGTCACTAGAGGCCTATTAGTTTCTCTCACTACTGCTCTCTTTGTCAAATAAGGTGAATGCACATATACTTGTGAGTTTGCAATTGTGGAATATTCAGATGCCTGGCTGAATAGTGTATAGGAGTGGCAAAACTTGAGATGCACTCACTGGAAAACAGGCTGCATAATGGACTGATAGAGAGAGACAGTTTGCTCCCTCACCTTGCAACCTTCCAAGATGCCTCAAGAGAAATAAAGGAGCAATTTCTATTCCATATTTGACGGCAAGGCCCCTGCAAAACTCTATTCACAAATCCAAACAGAAACAAAGCCGTCGGGAGGTCAGTTGTGACTTCCTGTTGGGGGCAGCATAATGGGTTGGTTGAAGACACTGTGAGGTGCATCACAGAGGAAATGAAAAAGAAAGGGGGTCTGTGTGTGTTTATGCGACACCCTCTTTCTTTCTTATCAATTTAAATGCTTCAGGTGTTGTCTGGAGGTGGCCCTGCACTGACTCACAAGGTTCAGCATCAACAGTCTCAAGCAAATGCGCCTTTGGTGTCTCGCTTGTCTTCTGTTTTCACAGACAAGAGGAATGAGACAGAGCCATAGCTGTCAACCAGCTGCTTGTCATTAAGATTTATGAGAGGCCAACATGTTAACTTTGGTGCCGCTGAGTTGTTTATATTGCTGTAGAAAAAGTTCATTAACAGACTGGGTGCAGGACCCTATGAATTTAGCCAGTTAGCTATATAGTAGCAATATAATTAACCTATTATGAATTAAACAGTTTCCCTGAAATTGAATGAAAAGTATAGATTCTGGTTTTCGTTTTAAATACACAATTAAAGTGTAAGACTCCATCTGTAAGAATTAGAAATATGCTTTTTTCCTTTTTTGTGTTTATCTTTATAGCTTCTACATGTTTTTAAATCTTTGTGCATGAATATCATGCGTGATGTTGCATCTACCTCTTTAGCCTGCTTGCCGGGATGCTGTTGCTGGAGAAGCTGCAGATGAAGCTGTTCCTGCTGTTTCTTATAAAACTCCTGCAGGTGTTGCTGTAGAAATAAGCGTTCACAGAGAGAACAAAAGACATAGAGATGATGCAATGAATATTTTTTGTTCAACTTTTCATTTTTGAATGATCAAAAGAGGCATAAATAATTCAGCTGTTGACCAAAATCATACATGTTTAAAATTGTTCAGCCCCGTCCAGTAGATGGTCAGTTATCGTTTTTTTTTTTTTTTCTTCTCTTTTTTTTTATGTAACTTATATCTAACGCTTATCAACCCATTGTTTAAACAGAACTGTATTACATAAAAATCTATTATATGATGCAAGAAAAATATTTTTTAATTTGAACAAACATACTATAATGGTAGTTTCCTATTTTGTATTTTGTTGCAAAATATCACTATTACAATGTTTTTAGAGGATGATTTCAATGCAAGCATGCAATATGTATTTCAGAGCTTAAGTCTGATTTAGGAGACAATTGCAATTGACACTGGATCTTAAGGAGCAATTCACTTAGAGTATGTAGGAGTTTTTGTTGGAGTTTATATAGCAAATTGTCTTCACAACATAACTGTGTTCAAAGTTGATATAGAGTCGATCTAGCAATGGCTGACACCGGATAAGGGTCAGAAACAACTCTAATATATAGGCCTGTCCTAATACCAGAGCCTAAAATATTGAGAAAAATATTATATGAACCAGAAGTACATCATAGAAGTTGAGCGGCACACAAATATCCTAAAACCAAGCCTCTAGTAGCAACACAGTTATTAAAGAAGGACAATCAGAATGACTGACATTCTTAATTAAACCATTCTCTTTCCCTTAATCAAGTCTATGAATTAGAAACGCGTTTCAACTCTGTAAAGGCGCCGTACCAAGTGCCTGCTTCCTCAAGTTGATTTCAAATATTACATCATCCATCACCTATCAGTCAGTTTACTGCGCTCAGCCCTACTCTCAGAGTCCCTGATGGAAGCTTGTCAGGGAATTGAACCAGCGACACAGCCACAGACGGTTAATTAGAGGTGACATGTACATGTACGTCAATTTAGAATTCTTTTTGGTAAGCGTGTCAAGGACACCGTGGTGAGTTCGCAAAAGCAAGTGTCGGCAGGAATGACTCAAGAAGGTGTGTTGACCCATTCCTCATGAAAAGGCTTAAGAATTATAATCGAGATGTGAAAAAAAATGACAAGATGTAAGATTTACACACATGTTGCACTAATTTGTATATATTAATGCAGCTCTCTATGTGGCTTAGACTTTCTTGAGCTAGAAAAGCAGCCTTAAGTGAGCAAACTCCTCTTTTTCTGTGAGTGAGATCATCTCTGAACTTAGGGTTTTAGTCAAGACCCTAATATAGGGCTAGTTAGGGTGTTTTTGGTATTCCTAAAGCTAACATTAAACTTTACTAACAAGCATTACTTCATTTGTTACATCATGTACAGTATGCACTAACTGCAGTGATTAACCGGGCTCTCTCTGTGCTTTTCCCTTCATAGAATGTATGCAGAGACCAGTGACTATTTCGCTCTGTTTTTCTTGGATTGAGTCATTAACAGAGTTTTACTCCCATTAAGTGTGTGTCCTGCTTTTCTTTTTCTTATACAAAGTACTCCTCATTCAGAGCTGCAGGGTTTTCTCAATACAACTTGCTGTAGTCTTTGTTTGTTTTTCTTTATCCCAGAAAGTACATTTCCTGTATTGGAGACACTAACAAAGCTGCAGGTGACACCTCTCTGCTTCCCTTTCCAATTGAAAGTATATTGTTCACTGTTTGGGTTGTCTCTCTTTTCTAGTTAAAGCCTTTGTGCTATAGTGCGCATATAAGGTTAGGGTTATAGTATTATAGTATTAGTATTTTTTTATAGAATATACAGCTGTGTTATAGCATTATGGCAGTACAGTATCTCTGTGTTTTGTTATAGAAAGTACTCCTTGGTAAGAATTCATTTTATGCCCTCAACATCTTTACCCTGAGCTGGACGCAGTTAAACTTTGCTCCAAAAAAAGTTATTAGTAATTATAAATGTTCTCAATTTAGATAAACTGAATTCAATTGCACAAATGTATGCATAAATGCAAGTTCTGCCTTATCTGCAATCTCTGGAGTGTTTGTGTCATTAAGTTTGTTTTTGTTTTAGTCTTTTATTGTTTTCTTTGTGCATGTGTGTGTGTGTGTGTGTACCTGCTGCAGCATCACTGCCTGCTGCTGCTGGAGCAAAGCCTGGAGCTGCTGTGGGGAGAGAACCTGCTGCTGGAGGATCTGCTGCATCTGTTGTGGCGTGATCACTTGGGGACTCATCATGGCCACTGACACTGGAACCTGGACATGGATGATATGTAATGAAATGATGGAATGAGAGTCAGGGCGAGAAAGGAGGCACGGAGAGGGGCAAGACAAACAAGATGCAATAAATGTGAAAATGGAAAGTGGAGAGAACGGCAAACAATGGGAGAGCGGGGGGAATGGGTAGGGAGATGAGAAAGATTGGAAAAAAAGTTTAGAAAATAGAGCGTTAGAAAAATGAATCATAGAAATGTGGATCTACTGGGAATGAGTTAACTTGTGGTATAAAAGGTAGGAAGAGAAGGCTGTGACGTTTGGAAGCCTAGAGGAGATGCTGAAGGACACATGGGTGCTATGTCTTTGTGTTGCTCATCTTATTTTTCTGCCTTTATTCTGCTGGGAAAAGCTGAGGGATTTAAATAGATATAGACCTTAATTAGCAGGACCCTTGAACTCACCTACTTTAGCGTGCCTATCAGTGCTTCTACTGTTGAACAACATAAAAATGCATAACTCTAAATTTGATTAAAATTGAACTGATGGGGTGGACACATTGCCAAGGTGTGAGCTGCAGCAGCAAATATTGTGTTCACCTTTAATTATTCAAAATAAAGAGAAAAAATGGTCAAGTAAGCAGACATTTAAGTCTTTTTTAGACTCTGTGGCAAGTCGATCATAAAAGAATTGCACCATTTCTAGTTGTTAAGCTGTGAAGAAGCCAAGAAAAAAAAAAAAAAAAGCAAACATACAACATGCTTTATTTTTCCAAATTCTTCTCAGGCACCACAGCTCCCAACTTCTGAGGCAAAAGATCAATAGGAAAACAATATATTTTGCTGCTGTCTTTGATTGCGTGTGCGCACACCAACAGGGGAGTGGAACCTAACAGTCTTATTTTGGAGTTTTAGCTCCTCATGGCCGCTTTAAAAAATTAATGTTCTAAGAAAAGAAGATTTCACTGTTTACTTTTCTGAGAGTAAAAACCAGTTAATGATTTAGTATTAAACCGGCACCCTGGTTTGATACATAAAACTTGACTAGTGCACCAAAAAGTGGGGTGCAATACATTCCCTCTGCATGAACTTTAAAAATAAACTGTCATCAGCATAGATTGAAATCAATTTTATCAGCAGGTGTTTGGAATCAACAAAGAAGAAAAAACTGTTAAAACATCAACACAGAGTAACACCTTTACTGATTCTAATTGCAACAGTGTTTGCCATGGAGCTGCCATGACAGTAGCTACCCTATATGGAGTGTCAAGGGGGCAATAAGACATCCCTGTCCTCATTGCCAGCTAATCAAGCTGGCTTGATTACTTTCCATGCATGTCTCTCCTTCCTCCCTCCTTCTCTCTGCTCCTCTCCCTCTCTCTGTCAGGCCTTGACACGTCCTTGTTTAGTTCTCCTCTTCTCGATGCCCACCCCCCTCAGCCACCACCACCCCAGGTTTCTCCCCCCTCTTTGATTAGCCGAGACATTTGCATGGTCACTACACATTTTTCATTTTAGAAGTCATTATGCATTAGTGGCTCCTGATCGCCCGCCTTGACTAATCCTGATGAACTGAAAATCACAGCTGAAGGTCAACTTCCAGCCGGCCCCGCTGCACATTCATATTCATATTCAAACAAATCCTGCCTCCATTGTTCATTAGGGTCTTAGAGAGAAGGGACTCCATCTAAGGTAGGAGAGATGGAGGAGGAGGTGGTGGCTGTTTGTGGTACATCTCTTTTCTTCTTTGGACTCCATGCTTGCAAGGGGACAGGGGAAATTGCATTCACAATAAGCGAGTCGTTGAACAAAAGCTGTCAAAAGTTGCAAATTAAACAGCCCCTGTGTAATTATGCAAATGCTGTGCTTACACCTTCAGTGTTATTAACCCTTAAAGGTACATTTGCTAGGTAAGTAATTACCCCTGCAGTCACTCCTGGTTTTGTGTTAGATGCCATTGCAATAGGACGAGTGTGGCGGGAAAACAACAGCAGAGATGCACTCATTAAGGCTATTAATTGGGTGCAGGCTCAAAGATGTTTGGGCACAAAAAAAAAAAAAAAATAGATGCAGGCGTACCCGTGCAGGGTTTATCACAAATGTATGCGCATACATATGTAAAGTGGAATTAAATATAAATTGTACATGGAGCTTCAAACAGTTTCTGCATTGTGTGGGTGGTGAAATATGGGCACTCAAAGTCAGGTATTTGTGGGTGAATAATGCCGGATGTCATCAGCACTGAATAAAACAAGACCTCAAACAAGAGGTGCAAAATGAAGTAACGGAATATTGTAAAAAAAAAAAACAAAAAAAAAAAACAAGAAGTTTATGAAATATGGAGGGTCTTTTTACGCTGTCATTAACTTTTATATGTAATGGGTGATAATCACCCCCCCAAAAAAAAGGAAACGGCAGAAAGAGAAAAGAGAAGGGGGGAAGGCACTGGCCCACATCTACTGTGAAGAGCAGCACAATGCTAATTCCAGCATTTAACTGCATGCTTTTCTGCTTGACGTATCAGAGGCTCCAAGATGAAAGCAGATAAGTAATTGCTCTCCTGGTTCTTATTCTTCACTGACAACCCATAAATTTAATTTTACACACACGTTCATTTACATTTTCGAGTATATGACATGATAATTGCAGCAATATAACACCTCCATTCTGCAGGATCCTGCAGGAGGGCTTGATTGACGTGAGCACTGAATTGAAAGGAACAGGAGGCTGAATTGCCTCTCCTTGAAATGATTTTGCCACGAAGGGATGAAATTAATGAGCATTTAGTAGACGTTGGCAGTGGCGTAAACATCCACGCGCTACGAATGGGCTCTCTATTGCAGAAGGGAGAATGGTGATATCCAATCGGGTTGTTCTTCTGTTTGTCTGTTATTAAGAAGGAAAGGATTGAATTCCAGCTTTAGCAGGAAGACATTATTGATAGGATGTATTTTAATCAAAAGTAAGCCATTGGTGTAGATATTGGGGTAATTAATACCTAAATATTTAATCTCTATGTCTTAATACTGAAGATTTCCACTGCAAAAGTACATTTTAAACATAGTTGGACAAAAAAACGTTGAATGTAAACAATCATTTACATACAAAGCCTCAGTGATGCTAAAGAAGATCCAGATTTTAGCCCATTTTTGTCAATGCATTTTGCCTTAAAAGAAAAAGGTCACACTGGCAAGAATCTTAAAGTAAACAAAGCACTATAAATTAGCCCCTGATGTAAAACGTTGATTGGGCCCTTATCTAAATAAGCAAAATCTTATCTTCTTGAAGTGCATTTCTGCTAGTCAGCTACTGTACTATGGTATTTTAGCTCTACCACATGTGTATTTAATGAAAATTTTGTAAACAAGAACCCAAAAAAATTTTTAGTTTAGCACAACTAACTGGAGACGGAAAAGTAATGATTAGATGTCAACCACAGATGCTTCAGTCACAAGTATAAGAAACCGAGTGGAGCTGCAGATACTGCAGAGATTAAAGCAATAAGAAATCGAGGGGTCCTTGTCTTTAATTACTGTGAATCTTTGGCATGATAGAAGTGACTACTAATTAAGCCACTGGCTCTATTTTTACACACACTCAGTAAGAAAGATTAAGAAATCAGGAGAAGAGGGCAGAAACCCTATCTACTTTCATCGCTGCTTCGAAAAATGCAGACCCCTGTGGGAGCCTGTTGACTCCTAACATCGCAACTCCCTTTCAGTTACCATTCATCTACTAGCCAATTACAACCAAATGTGGCCCAGAGCATCAATGATAGTCAGGAAACTTCGCAATGGGGTAGGGTTCTATGCCTTGAAAAATTATTCACATGGTTTCTTAAAGTACAATATAATAACGTGAATGGATTTCTATTTTCCTCATAACTCTGACACCCCAAAATAAAACAGTTTGAAAACAATTGCCATTGGGTATGTTAAACATACTTTGGTGGTGATTTCACCTGTTTATGGTGATGTTTTCTTTAGCAGAGTAAAGGTAGCTGCAGAGAGCTGACAGGATGATGGTTAGAGATGGCTAGAGCTAAACATCAGTACTTTGTGGGAAGAGGGACCATATTGAGTAGTTGGATAATGTCAACTACTCATCCTAGGACGCAGCAGCATTTGCTGCAACCAATTGCTGCAACCGTAGACCTAGTCTTTTCTTTTCAACTTTTTAGCCATGTTTGCAAAAATTATGCAAGCCAAGGAGTCTCCACTAAGATTTAGATCTGGACTCTGTTTCATTTCAACACATGTCTCTGGTTTGATGTAGGTGATTAAATTTAATGCAATTTAATGTTTAGGATTGTTATCTTTCTGGAAGGTGAAGCAATATCTCAGTCTTAAGTCTTTTTCCCTACAAACATTCGTTTTTTACAGCACTGTATCTAGCTCCATCCATTTTCTCATCAGCTCTGACCAAAGAACTCTTCCCTCATAATGATACGGCCATCACTGTGTCTCACCATGGGAATGGTTTGTTTAGTGTTGTGCTTGTGAACTTTATCTACCAATCAGGTTATCTCTAAAAGCAATTTAAGGCTATTAAGTTTTTTCCCCCCCAAAAACCTACCACAAGGTGTATAAGTAGAGTATGTGTGTTTTAATCGAACATGTATAGACAGAATCGTGTCTTGAACACGTGTTGAGCTTTTGGAGATCGATGCCCTAGTTTGTCAGTCGTAAGCTAAGTGGATTACCGCAAGTTTTCCTAAATCAATTTCTATACCGGTTTGGCAGCAGTGCACAGTAACTCCAATTTATAATAACATAAAGACCCATCATGTAAAAGCATCTAATAGAAGTCCCTCAGGAGCTTGGATAGAGCTTAGAACAATTTCCATATTGATTTATCTGCACATGTAGAAACTTACTGATTAGACCTTGTGAATCCAGTGCACACTTGTGTATAGCTCACGCGCATTGTTTGCTTCATTATCAGTGCACACTGACGCACCTTTATCAGCAAAACTGGCTTAGTTCTCTCCTCCCTGATGCTTGCTAAACTCCCTCAAGGGGTGCAACAGTATAAGTAAAGGGGAGAGAATTAAAAGGAATGAGCAACGAGAAGAGAGAGTTGAAATAGGAAGCGTGAGCGCAGGTGACGGGAATGTTGGTATGAATGTGTGTGCCTGTGGGTTTAGGGTGGATGGGGGGGCATTTTCCTCTGATGTTGCAGGTAATATGGCCTCCACTGGATCAGCCTCTTCATCAGTGACACACAGTAAATTACAAGTGCTTCAAGCAGCTCAGTGAATTATAGTTCATCACTTGGAAAGGCTTTCCCCCCCTCACCACCGGGGCCCAGGCGTATCAGATCTGCCGGTTAGGATCCAATTAACACCCTGGCCAGAATCATCTGATTGCATGTGTAAGGGCTGGTATAACTCGTTTATTGCACCCATGTATCTTCTGTCACAAGGTAAATTTGTTGCTGCTACATCAAAGGTCTGAGCTACTTTTTTTTATCCCTCCCTCTCACTTTCTCTTGATCCCTCAAACTCAGCTACCTCGCCTTGGGGTTGCATTTCAACTTCTTTTGCATCACAATGATGAACCTACTCTGTCCTCGCAATTTAGCAATCTTGTCCTGTAGGTGTTGTAAATGCAAGAAGAAAAAAAAAGAGACGAGGTAGGGGGAGAAGGAGGGGACATGAAAAAAAATCTTGTTTTCTGTTACAAAAGCAGTAACCAAGGGTGTTTGACTTAAAATGTGCTGACACTTTTTTTTTTTTTACTCTTTCTTTCTCAGAGTCAACAGAAGTTTTCCTCATGAATAACATAATATTTTCCCCCTCTCGTTTTTCCCCTTTGCTGTGATAATTTTTCTCTATTTTCAGATGCAACCAGAGGGGATGCAGTGGAAAGATATATTCATAAATGTAAATGTGAACTAGCATCCTTTTCGCCATGCACAATGGAGTAAGTCAAGCAATACTTACACTGAGCGTCAAGGCCCTTTGCAAGACATGTGCATGAATTGAAATGATACTGGCTTGCTGTTAAAATTTTGCTGAGTTGACCTTTAAAAGTGTGACACTTGCTCTGATGGCCCAGTGACCACAGCTAGTTTGAATTGTCCGGGCACAGAGCTGTGAAGACACGAAAAGTAGCAAAACCAAAATCCTTCACAACTCCTGTATCCTTTCTACATTCAAATCAACGTTGTGCAGATGGAACCGACATTATTAGTCTCATAAAAATGCATTCACAGCTTGGCAGTGTGTAAGTGTAGGCACAGTGGTTGCAACAGTGGCTTGGGGCAGGTTATCTAGCTTTGTATGACGCAGGATCGAATTTTAATCACTGCAAGAGGAGGTCGAGTTGCAGGCTCACACTATCAAGCATCCATCTAACACTTACAGAGAAAGGTCAGGGCTGGTCATTCCCGCTGTTATAAGTATGTCTCAAGATTCCTACACAGTTAGGAAAAGCATTGAGTTCTATAAAAATCCTTTCTTCCTTCCGTCCATTTTCCCCGTCTTTTGTAATTTGATGTTTTTTTGTTCCTTTTTTTTTTTTTATTTCCTTACATTATTTCTTCTATTCATTCTTTCTGGTTCTTGAATGAGTTGACTTTTAAGGCCAACAATAATGGAGTATTCAAATTTTGGTAAAAATAACAGATCAATTCCAGATATATCAAGGACATTTAAATGTTTACCTGCTAACCATTTCTAAATTACATTGACCCCTTTTGCAGCTGTGTGATGACGCATGTGAACATGCAAATGCGACATAAAAACTATCCAATTATCTGTTTACTGTCCACCTTTTCTTGTACGCATTTCTTTATTTGTATTATAAATGTCAGGGTATAAATGCCTTTTGGGGGGAGTAATACATCACCATAGAGAAGAGTGGAGAGCAGTGGTAAAAAAGGAGCAGAGACAAGAGGGTGTTGTGCCTTGGGAGAGTAGAGTAAGCAGCAGCCGGAGACAGGAGGATTTACAGGAAGAAATAGGTGTTTATTGAGTGCTCCCGTGGGCTTACTGTGTAATAATAGACCTGTCACATTACGCAAATGTGGAGAAACAGCTTCTGTATGTGTGTTTGTTGGGCTGTTGTTGTTTTGTATCCTATGTGTGTGTGCATATTTCACTGCTAGAGCTGCCTGCCTCCGCATCATCAACTTCTGAGAAGCAACGATGAACGAGCGGATAGAATTAGTCAGGCAAGAGCCTTTAGCTGCTAATACGAGTAATTAAAACTGCAAGCTGAGGCACTTAGATGCTTGTGTACTAAATAATTTACATGCCATGATCTATGGATCATTTCTCTCTCCTAAATAGCAACGACAGAGAACAAGAGGCAAGAAACTGGCGGAGGATTTATCAGCGTCTCTGCCATAAGCAGGATGTCATGGTTATATTAATCCTTTTCCCACTTTCAGCAGCACTAATCATACAAGGGGATCAATCCGCATGATTCCTCGGGTGGAAAACATGTAGTTTGATTACAGCTGACTCTGATCTAGCTTTGAAGCTAATAAAATATTGCACTGTAGCGTCCGTTGCGGCCTTATAATCCAGGTAAATAACACAGCTTTATTGAGTGAACTCCCTCAAGACAAAAACAAAATGGAAAAAAAAATAACTGGAAGTGAAAAAAAAAAGTTGTTTTTAATGAAGTAATTTTCTTCTTCTTTACTCTGATATTTGCACACAGGAGTATTATGGGAAAATGTCATTTGAAATGAGAGGATTCAAAGCTGCTCAGCTGCATATTCCTACTGCAAAAATGAAGTTGATCAAAACTAGGTATGTACTACTCAGAGAATCAACATTTTCTTTTTTTTTTATAGTAATACACCATGGATGTAAACTTTTCTTTCCAACAAGAAGGTGAAGATAAACAAATAATTCGTTGGAAATGGACAGCCTGACCTGCAAACCATCAGATTCATATTGATTCACACCATCAGCCAGTGCAGGCAGGAGTAAGCAAATGTAAATATTCAATATTTACCATCTACTGCAGTTATTAGAGAAAGGTGCTTGGACATGGGGAGATTGTTCTAAACGCCCCAACACACCCTCCATTGGGTTTGGTCGAAAGGTTGAGTTTTGGATTTTGAGGTGCTAGACATTTGCTGATCGAGATTGCATGTTTAAATCCTCTGTACTCAACAAAGGTACTTTTACTTTAATTACTTGACTGGGATTACAGGATATAGACCAAATAAAGCAGTATATAGTGAAGGGGAAAGGAATGGTGCTTTTAAAAAGGTTTTACAACTTAAAATCTAAAAAGCGCATTTGGATTCACCCCCTTTTACTCCAATGGCTCTTCATAAAACCTTGTGCAACCAATTACCTAAAAACATTATCCAACTACTCAATATGGTCCCTCTGTGTGTAATTAACTTTAAGCAGGAATAGGGCTTAATGCTGGAAGCTATCCAGGTTTAAGTTAACCAGAACCTTTGAAGGTGATGAGAAAAACATTTAAAACAAGAAATGTTAAGTTCTATCACCAGTATGCTAAGCTTAAAAATGATCCTTCACAATTAGTTTCTGTTTTGTTTGTCTATCGCATCAAATTTCCAGCAATAAACATCAATAAAATGTAAAAAAGTGCAATCTGTCTGTATCTGTCTATTGAAGTACTATCAATACTAACACTTTTGAAGAGTCTACGCTGAATAATTCAAGGAAGAAGTATGACAGAAGAGTCTTTGGCAACCTTATCTCTTCACCGGTGCGTAATTAGATACACGGGGGTGTGACTCCAATTCAAGGTGTCGCCATTGTTAAGACTTTGTGAAAATATCAACGGGTGAGGTTAACGCCAATTTCCCTGTCATTAATGAAATGCACAGAGCTTCCTAATGAGGTAAACCACTGCTCCTTGATGCTACTTATTAGCCTAGAACAGGGCACAAACTCTCACACTTCAACTTCAAACTGTTAAAACAGTAAATAAAAAAAATAAAAAAAGTGCTGTTAATAAGACATTGAGGCAGATGTCAAGGGGCTTTACGTAATTTGATGGAGGGGTAAACTAAGTAAACGCCTTGTTGACGTAAAAGAGCGAGATGAAAAAGATGCTTATGTGAGAAAAATATCTTAACACCAGAGAGCAAGAGGGCGGTAGGCGGCGTGTGGGGATGGGAGTGTGAGCGCGCCTGCATATGTGTGACCTTTTCCGAATCACTGACAACAGAAATAGACAGCTCTAACAAATCAATAAGGTAAATTAGCACCGAAGGAGGAAAATGACAGGGAGAAATAAAAAAGGTTTGTGACCAAATATTCAGGCTGACGTGTATTAAAAAAAAAAAGGATTTCCTGTGTAAACAACGGAATAATATGAAGAAAAGCATTCAGTGCAAGGGTATGCTAATAAATAACCTTCGGAAAGACTTATCAAAACATTTCTAGCTTGACTGATACTTCTAAGGCCAGCGTGAGTAAAACTTGTACTTTCTTTGTCATGCTGTTCTTGTGGGGTTTGATAGGACTGACTTATTCATCTTAAAGATCCTAGGACGAAGATTGCGTGGGCAAATCAAACACACTTTGTGGAACAAAGGAAATCTTCTTTATTGGGAGGAGCGTGTATCACGGACGGACTTAAGAGATTAGACGGAGGGAGCCGCTTTACCTGCAGTGGACGCTGCTTGTCCTGGCTCTTTGGAGATTTCAGGCCACTGCCTGGCTGCTGCAAGAGTAATTGCCTCGCTGCTTGTAGCGCCTGGAAAGAAGAGAGCACAACACACACACAAAAAAGTGTGAAAAAGAACTACTTTTTGAAAGACAAAGCTGAATGAGAAAACATTTCATGTTGTTTAAGTATCGCTAAAGATATGTTTCAGTAACATCTGGTATAGCTATGATCACAGATAAATGCTGTTTGTCTAAAGCACCTCTGAAGAATGACGATGAGTGTGTGTATGTGTGTGTGTGGGGGGGGTGATGGGGAGTAGAATTGACCTGTCTAGTGTGTGCTCAACTGAAATATCCACTTCCCTCCGCAAATTACCACCACATTTGCATATTCATAATATCAATGTGAAGTAGAGGCAGCACCATGTGAAGTGTCCCTGGGAGCTGTAATTAAAGTTGACAAAATCAACATCAGATTACATTTAGAACGAATTAACCAGCAGTCCAGGTTTTACACTGTGCATTAAGGGTGCTTATGTGCAGAGGATGGGTAGATAGATGGAGAGATTAATAGATTGGTGGGGATAGAGAGAATGTTCCCCATCTTAATAAAAATGACTTCACAGCTGTTTACACAGATCTTGACAGATCTGAAGTTTGCGCTTGTAAATTGTAATTTTTTTTCATCAACACCTGTTGAGACGAGGTAAAATTTTGTGCGATATTGACTTTTAAAGGACTAACATTGGTTGGGGACATATGAAAATAATGATCTTCACAGAGCCAAAACTGCATCTTAAAGGTATAGTGGAGGATTTTTTATATTTTTTTTTCTGGGTGGATCATTAAAATAAATGGTCCTCTTTATTGTTAATCATTCTGGTGATATGTTTACATAAGGTCGTCCTATGTGCTTGTCCCAATTTTCACTTACTGGTGGAAAGAATTGCAAATCTTCATTTGAAAAGTAAGCTTGTATGAGTGATGCAAACAGCAACTTTTAAACAGAGAGTGCACCAGGAGAAATGAACTCCTGCATGCATTTAATAGGCGTTCCCTCTCAGGAGAGGGTACAGGGTTGTGCATGTGCATTTTTTTTTTTTTTAAGTGAAGAGGGCGGTTGTTTTCAAAAAAATTTGCGAAAATCCTCAACTATACCTTTTAACTCGTCTGTACTCAATGTTATGGTTATGGTTGACAAGTTTTAAAACTCTCTAAATATGAGATTAAAAATGTTACCAAAACAAACAAAAAAAAAAACATTATCATTTCAAAAAACGCAATCCAATCCATAAATGTAAAATTTTAACTTGAGATTATGAAATTCTGTCCTGACTGAAAACTGTACAAAACCCCTTGTGCTTATCATTAAGATCCCCAACAGAAGATCAACAGTAAAAGTAATTCACTGTTTGCTCAAGGTGGTTTAAAAACCTTTTTACTGAGTATTTTAGAGTATTGTCAGCCAGCCCAATGGGAAGCTCTGTCAAAACGACAGCAATTCTATTTGTTTCTAACTTAAAACAAACATGTTTAACTGAGATACAATAAAATGTCAAGCTCCAACTTCCACAAGCAAATGATGACAAAAGATAACTCAAATTCAAAAAAAGTATTTACTTCAAAGAGTTAATCAATATCAGATGTGCCAGGAGATAAATAATTTTTTTCTTCATAGTGTTGAGAAGAAACCAGCTTCATGAGAATCAAAAAGGCTGGTATGTTTTTTTTTTTTTTTTTTTTTATTGCATCATTGCTTTCAGCTCCACTTGCGCTCCACGGTGAACAAGCATGCAGGCGAGCAGCTTCCCACAGTTCTTCAACAGAAGCATTAGAGAGTCCAGCAGTAGAGAACGCAATACAACAGAACAACTTGCTCTCTGTGCTGAGAAGCATCAAGCAGGAGCAGCACAACAACTTCACGGCCTTTCTTTTTCTGTTTAAAACTCAAACTCAGGTGGAGAGTGACACTTCCTCCAGAATCTCAGGTTCTCATTTCATTCTGGTGCTAGTTGGTATCCATGACAACGGCTGCTTTGACAGACGTGCATATGGCGCAGCTCAAACCAGCTGATGGGAACAATGTTTGAACTAGTACATTGAGATCCTGTGCAAACAGACAGAGAAGACAGCAGACAGATAGAGAAAAGGCAAATGGGGGGGAAAAAAGAGGAGGAAAGGAGGAGAGGAAAAAGTTGCCATGCCTTAACCCCCTCAGGGAACACATCTAATCCCCCCCTCTGCTGATCAATTATGAAAAGAAAGAGCTCGGGAGGTGCCTTGAGAGGTGGAGGTGGGTCTGGGGAGGGAGCTGTCTGGCTGCTCAGGAGGAGCCAGGACTTCTGATCCGAAGTAAACAAACACATTACACTGGCACTGGGTCCTAATTGTATTGATCCGTCTCTTCGGTAAAAGGATCACAGTCGCCACTAGTTTATATACATGTGACTGTGTATGGTGGCATCTGTAAGCTGAGCTCTAGTTGTTTCTTCAAAACACACACTAAAGTGCACATCAGCAACGTCAATGAGCAGAGACACGCGCAAACTTCTGTCATGGGTGGAGAAATCAAGCATTTTTTTTTCTTTTCTTTTTTTTTTTTACCAGGCATAAAAGACAACATCAATTTTTTGAATGCATCCAATCACTTTGCTAATTAAAACACAGGGCCCAATTAATCTCACCATGATTGGTGAATCAAGGTAATTATAAGGCTTATTGAGTCCTGCACACAGTAGTTAGAGGGGAGGGTTGCTTGATGAGTGCGACTAAAGCTAGCCGGCGGGGGGAAATGTTTATCCATGTGTGAATCAATAGTAACTTACTGTGTTATACAAATACACAAAAGCTCCTTTATATATTGCGAAAGGGTCAAAAGAAAAAAGAAAAAAAAAAGAATTTAACAACACTCAGTACAGTGCCTTATCTTAAGAACAGATGTATACCCCTTTATTTTAAAATGTTTTGATTAAAATATCTATGTTTTTTCTTATTATAGGTCATAAAGGTGCACAAAATTGATAAAAAATAATCATTCAAATATTTAAGATTTGATATTGTTACAAAGTGCATTTATATGTAGTCCAAATGAGACAGCGTGGAGTGTCCAAAAAATGTCTTGCCACTCTGACAAGCTTCCCCACAGCATGATGCTGCAACCACCATGTAACAACATGGGGATAATTTAGTCATTTATTGGGGAATGCTGAAGGGAATTCTTTGCATTGAATTATATTTGAGGTGTGCAGATTAAAGTGGCCTAAATGCAAATGTAAACCACACAGCTTTAAGTCCCAACATCAATAACCATTACTATATATTTGATAATCACTTTAAAATTATATGGAAGTTTCTGTTGGTAAATGTGTAACCTCATAACATGCACTGTATTTGTGTCAAATATATAGAGTGGACATAAAACAGAAGGTCATTTTACGCAATAGACTAAATATAGTTACCATCTAAAGCAAATTTGCAGCTTTGCACTTATTCTCACTTTATCATCATATGGGGGAAAGGGGTTTCACAATATAGTTAGGAGGGCTGAATACAAATGCATGCCACACTTTCAAACTTTTATATATGTAAAAATACTGGAATGTTCTTAACTATTCAACACTTTTTGTTGGTTTGTCAGCCAGGTTAAATACAGTGACGTATGTAAATGTTAAAGTTAAGAGTATACTTTTAAAGAAGCAAATCCATTCATTCGGAATGCATATCAAAGGAAGCAAGGAGATCATCTATGCCAGGCTTGTTAAAAAGAGGAGGCTGCTCATACTGAGGACATAACACAGGCCTTATCAACACCGGACAGAACTTTTTCAGAGTGGCATGTGATGTCTGAAGCAGTCTGGCACCTCCTCCATGGAATTGGGGTTAGTCATTTTTTTCGGAGAGCGTGTGATGGTGTGGAAGGTAAAAATGGAGGGGGGGTGGGATGAAAGGTCTTTTTCCTTCTCTTTCACCAGCTCTGAGTATTCAGCCATTACAGTAAAAAGCACCAATTTGTGCCACCCACTCCTCGCTCCGCATACATGCTGGAGCTAAAGCCCGTATGAAAGCACAAAAAGGAAAGTCATCAAAAGTTGGCTGAAGAGCTGCCTGAGCGGACAAGAAAAAAAAAAAAACATGCATACACACACTGGTACAGATGCTCCAGCTATTTAACCTTAGGTTGCTATGCACGAAAAAATGACATTCCCAGTCTATTAATTCACACATTGTATAAACAGCACAATGTGGTACATTCTTAGAATGAGAGAGCAAGGCAGACAGTGTAAAAAAGAAAAAAAAAGAGCCAGGCCCTCGCTATATAAATAACAAGGCACTCAGAGGCATATTTGATGTTGATATCCATCACAGAGTCTGGAAAAAAAGGGGGAAAGAAATACAGGGAGGGAAAATAACACAGTGTGACCAAGACTGCGACACAGGGATCCTTATGAAAATAAGATTCAGCCCAAATGGATCTGGTGTAATTGGTTTCAGATAGTAAGGTCAGAAAAAAGGCGACACAGGCAACTATTATGTGAAACGGACTGAGAAACAACAATGTTTACACAGGCATTCCTCTCCTACATTAATAGGCATGCAGAGATCACTACAGAGGGCACAAAACAAGAGGCTGACAAAAGGACCCACACTATCCTCCATCTGCTTTTCTACCTTTTGCAGAACTCCAGTTCTACACACAGCATGGTAATAAGCAACAGTGAACGCCATGCACCTTTATAAGAAGCATGCAAAGATCTTAAATAAGCATGAAATACATTAAGAGCTGCTTCAATACCAGGGCCAAACCATTGCAAATCTCCAGATTGCTTATTGCATGTGGTTAGCGGCGGGAAAGAAATAAACCATCCGCAAAGAATGTCATTCTTTTAAATCAACACAGAGACTGCAGGATATTTAGGCATGACATTGGCAGTGAAAATGTTTGAGGGGCTGTGACATTGTGTTTGGACAGTGCAGATCACTTCCTGACTCAAATCACACCAGGAGTTGTTGTTATTAGGGGATTTAGCTGATATTGGAATGATGACACAGGCGTGTAATATCCTGCTCTCAACAGGTACCTCTTTACAG